GGCTGCCTCAGCGGGTTCATCCGTCGTTACCGGATCGATTGATGGGGTCGAGGTCAGGGTGTTAGTGGACACGGGGGCATCGGCGACTATTATTTCGGATCTCATTTATAATATTCTCCCGGTACAATGTCGTCCGCTTCTTCCGGTGGATGTGCCATTTTACGCCGCTAACGGGGGATCGTTGGGCATTATCGGTCAGATTAGGGCGTCCATTTGCATTGGTGATATCAAATTGTCGGGACCCGTTTTCGTTTCATCTTCCCTGGCGGTTCCTTGCCTATTGGGCACTGATTTTTTGGCGAAAATGCCCATCAAAATTCTCATTGATCAGCGTTGCATTGAACTACCATCGGGTCGCCGTATTTCATTTTTGACGAGCCCTAATGTAATTCGGACGGCGTGCGCTACCATTCAGGCGTTAGCAACACAGACCGTGCACGTGCCCCCGGGTTCACAAATGTTGATTCCCCTCCGGTTACGGAAGCCATGGGGGAAGGAGGCCTCGGAACAGGCCATGCTTTTGGGTCCTTCTAATAGGGCTGTTGGAGGTCTCGATTTATCGGTGGCTCACACTTTGGTTGGGGCAGACAGGGATCCGTTTGTCATGGTTTTAAACGCTGGGGCGCGGCCGGCCGTCATTCAGCAGGGCACCGTGCTGGCTCACGCGGCACGGGTCCCTGCGGAGGAGAGGCTGGTTGCGCAGGCTGATCCGAGCCCCACGAATAGCGTACCATCAAAGGAGGACCTAGATTGGATTGATATGCTGTGCGCGGACTCTGACGATTTGTCAGCGCTACAGTTGGGTGCGTTGCGCGGGTTGCTGATTGAATTTTCGGATGTCTTCAGTAAACATAAGTATGATATCGGATGCACGGACCTGCTACGCCACCACATTGAAACGGGCGATGCGGCACCGGTCAGGCAAAATCCCTTCCGACTGAGTCCTGCTGAGAAGGAACATGTTCAGTCGGCAGTTAACGATATGCTGGAAGCCGACATTATTTCGCCTTCTTCCAGTCCTTGGGGAGCACCTATTGTGCTCGTTAAAAAGCAGGACGGGTCCCTGCGATTTTGCGTCGATTTCCGCCGCCTGAATAAGATCTCGGTGGCCGACGCGTATCCGCTCCCCAGGATGGACGAGTCTCTCGACGCATTGTCCGGTGCGCGATACTTTTCGACTCTTGATTTATTGTCCGGATTTTGGCAGTTGCCACTCGACGAGGAGTCTAAGCCTAAGACTGCATTCCGGACTCCAGGGGGCCTGTTTCAGTTTAACCGGTTACCCATGGGACTTCACTCCTCTCCTGCGACGTTTCAGCGTCTTATGGAATTGGTTTTGTCGGGCTTGCAGTGGGAGACGTGCCTCATTTACCTTGACGATGTCATTGTTTTCGGTAAAACGTTCGAAGAACACCTCCAGCGATTGAGAGGGGTGTTCTTGCGAATGCGATCGGCTAAATTAAAGTTTAAACCGGCCAAATGCCATCTTTTTCGTAAATCCGTGAGGTACTTGGGTCACATTGTCGACTCTTCGGGGATTTCTACCGATCCTGCGAAGACGGACTGTGTCAGTTCGTGGCCGACGCCCACGTCAGTGTCAGACGTGCGCAGTTTCATCGGTTTTGCTTCGTATTATCGCCGATTCGTTGAGCACTTCGCCACCATTGCAAAGCCCTTGCACGCTTTAACGGCAAAAGGAGTGAAGTTCCGGTGGGGACCGGAGGAGGAGGCTGCATTCTGCTCCCTCCGGGACGCCTTGGTAAGGGCCCCACCCTTGTGCTATCCGGACTTTGAGAGTCCCTTCTTGCTAGACACGGATGCTAGCAACACGGGCATTGGGGGAGTGCTGTCCCAAGTCGTTGGAGGGGTCGAACGGGTGGTCGCCTATGGTAGCAGGGTGTTGTCGCCGGCAGAGCAGCGCTACTGCGTCCCCCGTCGTGAACTACTTGCCATTGTTTTTTTTGTACAACAATTCAGGCCATATCTGTATGGTCGTCATTTCACGGTCCGGACGGACCATGCGGCGCTCCAGTATTCATTACGGGTTGCCCAGCCCTCGGGCCAATTGTCGCGGTGGTTGGAAGTCCTCCAGGACTATCAGTTCACGACTACGTACCGTAAAGGGTTGCGACACACGAATGCCGATGCCCTGTCGCGGTTGTTGCCTTGTCACAAATGTGCGTGCTTATCGGGATCGGCGCGCTGTAAACCTCCGGTTACGGAAGGTAGGGAGGCGTTGGTTGCGACCGCGAGCACACCAATTGGGGATGGTCCCGCTACCCCAGGGGGTCAGGACTCGCTGCTCTCACTGTCGTTGATTGAGTGGGGCCGTCTCCAAATGGCGGACAGCTCCCTGCTGGCATTGCGCCGAAAGACGGAGGGTTCCGAAGGTAGCCACGACCGAACTGGCTCCTACGAGCTTAAGCAGGGCCTGTTGATGAGATGGGACAGTTTGTCCCGGCGGCATGCGATTGTGGTGCCTTCTGCTGTGAGGGGGAAGGTTGTCTTGGCCGCACACGAACGCCTCTTGCATTTGGGAGTTAACAAAACGCTTGCCCTGCTTCAGCGTGACTATTATTGGCCGGGAATGGGGGGTGACGTGGTGAATATTCTGAAGGGTTGTGTTGAGTGCGCCAGACGGAAACCACCGCCCATGGCAGCTAATCCACCGCTGCAATCTATTCAGGTCTCGCGCACTAACGAGCTCGTTGCACTCGATATTCTGGGGCCCTTTCCGGTCACGCCTAGGGGTAATAAGTACCTGTTGGTGGGGGTCGAATATTTTACCCGGTGGCCTATGGCGTGGCCACTCGCCAACCAGTCGGCGGCGGCTGTGACGGACGCCTTTGTCCAGGGCTACGTCCTGGACAAGGGGGCTCCCGAACGCTTGCTGACTGACCAAGGGAAAAATTTTTCGAGTAAATTACTGCAGGAGGTGTGCGACCTGTTGGGTACCAAAAAGGTGCGTACCTCCCCGTACCACCCGCAGACGGACGGGATGGTGGAGAGGCTTAACAGGACATTGACCTCTATGCTGTGCCAGCAGGTGTGTGAGTCGCATGTTGATTGGGACCTGCAGGTCCCTGGGGTCCTTGCCGCGTATAGAATGGCCCCCCATGCAGCTACGGGGTTTTCCCCGTTTTTTCTAATGTACGGTCGGGAAGCCGACCCGCCCATGGAAACGCAGCTGGGTCTGCCCGCACCACGAACTAATTCTAAATTGGCAGAGCATATTAAATTTAATATTCATAAACTGACAGAGGCAAGGGAGGCCGCACGGCTTAATTCGCGGGCTCGCCAAATTGCGAACGAGCGGTTGCGGGCACGGAAGGTGTCCGTGCACAATTGGGAACCAGGTGACAAGGCCTGGCTGCATTGCCCTCAGGCACCTTTGGCCACGTCGCCTAAATTGTTGAAGCCGTGGCGGGGACCCGTGGAGGTCGTGCGGGTGGCACGCCCCCAGTGCGTTCAGATAAAATGGGGGAAACGCCGTTGGTACGTCCACCCCTCCCGACTGAAACCGTTCTCGCCTCCGTATGGCCTCCCCTTGTGTCGTGAGGGCCGAGCATGTGACGTGACCGACGACCCTGAGGGGGAATTGTCCTTGCCTGCTCCTCACATGTCTCCGCCTGATCCGCTCCCAGGTGTCTCGGAACTGACTGCTGCCGACCACCGGCGGCCGGATCTTCACGGCGGGGCCGGTCCTTCCAGGCCCGACCCGTGCCGTCTAGAGCTGCCGGAGACACCGGACGGTCGCCAACGTCCCGTTCCATACGACGGACCGGCCAGACGGACTCGCGCTAGGTCGCGCTACTTTGTGTAACCTACCACGTGCGGAGTCGAGGCAGCCGGAGCGCCTCGGCACTGCGTGGGTCACAGTGACACTTGGCGCGTTCGTTTTACGGTGTTCGCTTTTATTGTGTTGTTCGTCGGGCTGTATATTGCTTCATATTTAAGGTTGTGTTATGTTGTTGTTGTTGTGTTACGGGGCACACTGGGAGGTGGAGTTCTTTATTACTGCGTTGCGTTATGTTGTGTTGTAGGTTAACAGCCGGGCCGGCTGCAAGCTATGTGGGAGGGGGTGATGTAGAGGTGATACGCGCTGGGATTAAGGATCGTATGCACAGTGCGTGATGATTGGCTGTGTAGGTGGTGACGCGCGCTGACGGTGGAGGATCAGGGGTCAGCGCGGGGTCGTGGGTTACGGGGTACCGATTGGCTGTGGGCGGTGACGCGCTGAGAGGGAGTGATCAGGTGGCAGCGCAGTGTGATTGGTGGAGTAATGTTAACACGCGCTGGGGAAAGCGGATCGTAGAGAGAGTGCGTCGTGATTGGGTCATTAAGGAACGACGCTCACGTCGACGCCGCATCAGCTCCGTCCCTCGTGAGCAGGGGCTATAAAAGGGGATGCACACAGGCGTAAGGGCAGTGTGTAACCAGCGAAGAAGGAAGACGGGGATGAAGACCTAGAGCCCTGCGGTACCTAGCCCCGCTGTCCGAAGGGGACCGGGACTCTGTGTAACCCAGAGGCGAGTGTAGTGGGTGTAGCCATAGGTCTACACGAGCCGAATGTACTATGTGTAGCCAGGGCATAGGGCTTACACGAGTCGAGTGTATTGTGTAGCCAGAGGCATAGGGCTTACACGAGTCGAGTATATTGTGTGTAGCCAGAGGCATAGGGTCTACACGAGTCAAGTGTATCGGGTGTAGCCAGAGGCCTAGAGCTTACACGAGATTAGTGGAGTGTGTCGGAGGAAGAAGAGAGACCACACGTTGTATTGTGATACCTAAAGGATTTAATAAAAGTGTGTTACCCGTCAAGAAGTTCCTGCCGTCAATTCCCATACTTCATATATAAGGTGGCCAGGTGCGGTGTTGGCCACCCACCCCTCGTGTACCGTGCCGGCCTTCATAGGTGCTCACTAACAGCACTTGCTCCTACAGTCTCTTGAGGCTATATGTGGTATCTTTGTCTTTGTGTGTGTTTGGAACGGTGGCAGGTCCACGGTGGTGTGCTGCGGATTTTCCCCGAGGGAAAGCCACAGTTTGCGGACATCGAGCCCATATTTGACCGTCTACTCCTGTTCTGGTCGGACCGTAGGAACCCGCACGAGGTGCAGGCTTCGTACTCGACGCGGTGAGTGTGCAACATGCAAAGGCGCGGTGCTGGAGCATTGCATCTGGGAGAAAGAACAAGTATAACCCGTAAAAACTAAGTTTTTCACTATAAATCCTTTATATGCGTGGCGGCTAGAGTCCTCTCGTCCTCTGGCTTGAGATGGCTGCCACCTATGGGTCAGATGATTGCATGGCACAATTAAGCAATTGGTAATTAAATATAATATTTTTGTCCTAAAAAGTGTAAAATTTTGGGAAAAAAATTTCAAGAACATTAATTGTCACGCACAACGAGTCTGTGTGGAAAATGTCAGCTCGATTTGATCACGGGAAGTGGGTTAAAAAACGACCGAAAGATTTGCACGGTCCTAAGCAAGCAAGCGAACTTAATATAAAGGATTTAAAAAAACCCTCATCTCAGAATCTCGCCCTGCTGGCAGACTAATGCCCACTCGTGGACCGGCTCTGAGTAACCTTGTGCCGGAACAGGGACGGCTACTGTTTGGGGGGGGGGTCCCTGGCTCCAAAAAACAAAAACAAAATCTGTTTTGGCAAATTATGGGTGCGATGTCAGTATTATTATAATGACTGCTGCACTCAAGGACTCCACTGGAGGGAGCTCACGAGAGCGCCCTCTAGAGGGTATATTGATTGGCCCACTCTTCCACACTGATCAGATGTCTTGGAAGAGCATGAAAAAAAAGTAATATTTAAAAAAAAACACACTTTTATTAAATGTACTAGTAATGTAAAAACTCCACGACTCCAGGAAGTGGCCCCGAAGCTTGCCATAACGTAAGGGACCGTGGCCAATTACAGCCAACGTCAGTTGACCGTGGACAATTTGACCCAAACCGAAACATAACATGTAAAAAAGAATGTCTAAATGTTTTTTTATTTTTTATGATAGAATATAGTATTGTCATCAGCATGACATAAGTATACCAAGTTTGCAGTTGATACCACATTGGGAAGTGGGTTAAAATTGAGTTACAAGATTTGAGGATACAACGACAACAACAACAGACAGAGTGAGTTAAATGAAAGTGTGTAATAAAAATAGGTTTTACCCTTTAAAAGTGACTGGCCTACACCAGAGAGAGCCCTCTGTGTGGCCTAGTCTCACCAGTGTCAGATCGGAGAACACCAAAAGGCAAATAGCACAAAGACAATGCACATATCAGAGCATTTATATCTCGGGGTGAGCAGCGATATCACGGGAGCCTTTTGCCAGTATCAAAGACAATGCATATATTATCAGAGCATGTTTGCATGGTCACCAAAAGTGATTTAATGCAGACTTGATTTCTTGCAAAAGGTATTCCTTGGGTGTTTGAACATCTTAATCCCTGCTGTATTGCCAGAAAGGGTAAATCGTATTCTTGTCTTGGAAGAGAAACTAAACTGTAAACTATTCTTATTCTACCAGGTAAGACCGTGATTGAACTATATAGCTTTTTTTCAGAAGTGACCTGGCGAACAAATGAGAGCTCAACAAAGTTTCGATTCAAAGCTTTCGTGACTGCAGGGATCCATATTCTTGGTTCATTCGGTAAAGTCACGTAGAAGGGAAATAATAAAATAATACAAATAAAACATAATAAAAGTTCTAACAACGTTTCAACGAAGTTGCTTTATCAATGTGGAAATTGATAGCAGCCAAATACTCTATAGGCATGTTTCTAAATCTGAAGGGAAAACCCAGAGGACCCGGATAAATTTCCATGCAACCACGGGGAGAAACACGCAAACTCCAAATATACAGGTTTCAGGGTCGGGATCGAACCCACAACCTCCTCCTGTATACTAGGCGAGGTAGTTAACATCTCACCACCGTGGTGCCCCACCTTGGCAAGATAGGAGTACCCACACTTTATCCAACCACACATGCGACCTGTCGTTTGACCGTGGTAGTTTCCTATGTATACTGCTGGGTGAACAGGGGTGGGGTGGGGGGGACATTAATAAAATTGCCCAATGCCTAAACTCCCGCGGCAGGAGTTCAAACCGGTGAACTCTGGATCGCAAGTCCAGTGTGCTGACCATCACACTACGGACCCAGATTGCACCTCGCTTGGTTACCGGCTATTCCCTAAGATCCGTACAACGGACAGTCGGGCTTGGCAGTCGGGCGCCATCGCCACGAGGCTCGATCCGTACGCAGTTGACGGTTCGATTCTTGCAGCCTCCTGGTGTTTTCAGAAGAGAGTCACGTGACCCACGGGGGGGGGGGGGGGTGTTTGATTATGCCAACACTCATTTTGTTAACAAAATGAACACTCTTTTCGCAGGTATGCCATTACGGTGTGGTACTTCGACAAAGAGGAACGTGCTCAAGCCATCAAGAGACACTCATTGGGTGAGTGTGTGAACCCCCCCCACTCCTGGGCCAGTGTTGAACGCTGCTGCTGCTGCTGCAACAAATGCATGATTCCTGCTGTGCAGAATCGATGCAGTTGCTGCTATGAGTATGATTAACTATTCTCGACTTGAAGTTTTCGTGACTGCAAGGATCCATACTCTTGGTTCTTTCGGTAAAGTCTACGTATGATGAACTAATTATGAGTAGGTGGCACGGTGGTAACGCTCGTGCCTCGCAGGAAGAAGGGTCTGCATTCGATTCTCAACTCGGACACCTTTCCGTGCGGAGTTTGTTTGTTGCTCCCCCTGTTTTGCGTGGGTTTCCTCCAGGTTTTCCGGTTTCCTCCCATAGATAAAAAAAAAACACACAATCTAACAGCAGTAACATCTACCCCCCTCTTGTGAAAACCTGGCAGGACCCTCCTGCAAAATAACTATTTTTTTATTTTACCAGGTAATGCCCACTGAGCTTTTTAGCTCTTTTTTAGAATCTGAATATGTATTTATACTGGAGGATAGCTCATAGAAGTGACTTATCACGTGGACATTTATTGCAGCCAAATAGCCTAAAGTCACGTGTCTAAATATGGAGGGAAAAACCGGAGGAGCTGGAGAAAAATCCACGTGACCACAGGGAGAGAGACATCGCAAACTCCAAATATACAGCAGGCGACAGGTCTGGATGGAAGCCACGACCTCCTGCATACCAGGCGGGGTAGTTAACATCTCAGCTCCCGCGGGCACCCTGCTCACTGAGCCTTGAGACTCGGTGAGGCTTTCCTGGGTAAATATGCAAAATAATAATATGAATGAGGTTACCGTTTCACAATTAACAGTTGAGTTAGGCCATGCAATTATCTGGCCAAGTTTGTGTTTAATGACCCTCCACCACCCCACGTAGCCAAACAAATCAAAATGGTTGGTGCTGTCCCAGGCGTTGGAACAACACAACAATAATTTTTTTCAGCCCACCGCTAAATTGATGGACAACTCTCGCAACCAATTTTTGTTTGCCTATGCCAGGCGTTGAAGGGTATTTCGACACATTACGAGGCCTACCCAAAAAAAGTCTAGTCATGAATCATGTTAACTGAGATTTAAAGCTCCGTGCTCAGTTGATTGGGCTTGTTGCTGCTTGTTACTGTTGCTGAGCTTGATGACGTTGATGGCGATGGCGTTGATGGGACTTAGCAGCCGTACAGCGGTTTGCAGTCCGCAATAAATTAGAGCCTCGTCCACAGCTATAATCACCGGTGGGTAATTTTTTAATCATTCCCCCTTAATTGACTTAACCAGCACTGACCGTCGTGGTGAAGTATGGTCAAACAACCCACACGACCTTCACGGCGTGGAGAGGCCTTCATCTAGTCGTGGATTATCAAATGGTGATTAAAGTAAAATAAAAAATAGTGATGGTGGTGGTGGCGGTGTTGCTACTGCTGCGGTTTAAGGAGTGTGGGATTTTTCCATGATGCATTTCACAGCTGGGTAACTGCCGTAAGTTGGCTGCAATCCATCCTGCGTTCGCCAACATTCTACGTTTGCTCACAAACACAATAACCCGTTCATGCGTTGAAGTGCGTTTGTAATTATGCTTATCTGGAGAACCAGAACTATTACTGCAATCATGAGCAAAAGAAAATTTGTAAAAAATGCTTTGAAAAATTCCCGTTTTCAAAATGTTAATTTGTGTTTTGAGAGAGGTTATTTTTTAATTACGGGCACTGAGCACAGGCCCAAAGGCCCAAAACATCAAGCAATAGTCAACAAAGAACACGATTGAAGTCGTAGTAGGTACGAGTTTTCATGTTTATCGACACACACCTACTCGAGCAAGGGTCGGCAAACCAAAACAACACCAAGAGCGGTTTTTTTTTCGAATTCGGTAAAAAACAAAAACCTCAATATTTCAAGAGCTGCAATGGATGTGAATACGAGACAGTGTGGTCCTTTAATCAACGTCATGAAACCGTCCTTGATGAGCCACGTGTGGATCCGGAGCCACAGGTTGCTGACCCCTGCCCATGGTGAACTGGACTTCCATCTGCTTGGTTCTTTCGGTAAAGTCATGGAGAATGGAAATAATAAAATAATAAAAATAAAACATAATAAAATAATTCTCACGACGTTTCGGCCACAACGCAAGCAGCCGTCCTCAGGTGAAGACCAGGTCTGTCGGGGAGGCAGCGTCTGAATGACGCTGTCTCCCCGACAGACCTGGTCTTTTATTTTTATTATTTTATTATTTCCATTCTACGTGACTTTACCGAAAGAACCAAGAAGATGAATCCCTGCAGTCACGAAAGCTTTAAATCGAAATTTGGACTTCCATTGTAAGTAAAAAAGAGAAAAATTACAAAATTACTGAGGCGTGTGACATTTTGCTGGATCAGTCAACACCTGATGACGGTTGCTTGTGTTGCTTCCGAAACGTCGTGATTTAATTAATTTTCTCTTTTTCACCTACGTGACTTTACCGAAAAAAACAAAGAGACCCTTGCAGTCACGAAAACTTCAAATCTAGAATTCCATTGTAAGCTCGACTCCCATGGTGAACTGGACTTCCATGGTCAGAGACATTTTATTTTTTATTTCAAGAGCCACCACTGCAGTCCTTAAAGAGCTGCATGCGCCTCCAGAGCCGCGGGTTGCCGCCCCCTGCACTACAGGGTGTGATTTTTACCTGGAGATTATTTAACAATTAAATTGGCAAAGAGGAATTGTCAGTGGCTTAGATTTATCCATTGGTCTCCGCCTAGGTTCACTCGTGTCCCGCGAGTGGTTCAGTTTACGTGAGAAGAGCCAAAGGTAGAGAACAAGGACGATATTTGAGGCAGAGAGTGAGCTTCAGAAGCTCCCAGCACGTGGGGGAGAAACGTCGGACATTGCGTGGTACGACCCCAAGGCTGCGTCGAAGAGCTACACAGCACAACCGCATAGTTTCCTCCGTTAATCGCCATCAATCGATAGCTTGGTAACGATGAACAAATATTTGGCATGCATGGAGAGATGGGCTGCATTGGGTCAGCAGCAGAGGTCGCAAACGGGTTTTGATTCCTTACCCGTACCCGTACCCGGCCGCACCAGGGTCGCAAACGGGTACCCGTACCCGGCTGTACCCGTACCCTACCCGTACCCGGCCGGGTACGGGTAGGGTACGGGTATCGGGTACCTGATTGCGACCTCTGGGATGAAGCCATGTTGCAGGCACGGGTGGGTTGATTCTAGGAACTTGAATTGTGAGAAGAGACAAGACGTTGGGAAATGAGTGACAAACAGTTACCAGTGACTCACGGCCTACCCGTACCCGGCCGCACCAGGGTCGCAAACGTGTACCCGTACCCGTACCCGCCTGGGTACGGGTAGCCGGGTATCGGGTAGGGTACGGGTATCGGGTACCCGGTTGCGACCTCTGGTCAGCAGGGCCGGCGTTACTTGTGGCTGGGGCTGTCGTTTATCTTACGACGACCGCTGCCGACACGCTGCGCTCGTCACCTTTGAGCGTTGTCGACGGTCGCCTTTGAATAGCTCCGATTATACACGGTTGGCTACGTACGGTGCGAAAGAAGTTCAGAAAACATGTACGTTCAATAGCGTGCTTTGCGTATGTCTCTTAAGGGCCTGTTTTCTTTCTGTCGGCAGCTGCAGGAGAGAAGGACATGAAGGTGTCGCTGAGCCAGGCGGAGGCGGGGAACCAGCACACCACGCGGCCACCACAGAACGGCGCTAGTGACGCTCGTGCGAGACACTGACCCAACGTCCCCAGCACTGTGTGATTAGCGACGTGACCATTTTTCCTTTCTGGTTTCTTCGTGTTCTTAGAAAAGGTGCAATTTTTATTTTCTGTCCGTGTGTCTAATTGTACAATTTTTTCATCCAGATTTTTACATTATTATTATACATCCCAGTTTTAAAGTCAGATTATTATTGCTGCCATATTTTATGTTAAATGGCCAACATTGCAGGTAAAAAAATGAATATTTGTAAATAGACTATAGCATAATAATAATAATAATTTGTATGCTGCTCATTTAATTGTAACTGATTCCAAACGATTCTTATTGGTTCCAATAGCTGTATTTGATAACGTGTTTAAAAGGAAATTGGTATACATTCCAGATAATTCTAATGTATGGCATTTCCGCATGAATTCTGAATAATTATATGTTATTCAAGCGACAGTTTTGAGCGACTGGCGCTGTGTCTAGAGATAGCGTTTTTATTTTGAACTTGAAAAAATCAATTAGACTTAGTGTTACGTGCGTACAATACCTCTTTTCCACCGTACTAAACCCGCGCCGTGCCTATGCCGAGCCTAGCCCGGCGCGGCTGAAGAGGAGGTGCCGCATTTTTCCCAAGGCAGAAGTTGAGCCGTGCCGCTGACGTCTCGCGCAATGAATGTGTCCTGTGAGGGGCCCTGCACTGGCTCAGCTCGTATGTGCCAATGGAAAAGGGGTAGTGTATATATTTTCAAATGTTGGCCTTATAATGCCATTGAATTTATATGGAAATCCTCGAAATGAATAATACATCATTACATAGGTCAGCTGCAAAAGAACAGCCTTAAAAAAAACAACAGTTCTCTTTGGGATAAATGCAGTGTGTGAACAGCACAATTTACGTCCGTAAAAGATGACGCACACATTAAGCCAGGACTGATAGCAGCTGTGGGATGCTGCCGATATGTAATGGTTAGCACATTGAACTTGCTACCTAGTGAACGTTGGGTCGATCTCCTAGCGCGCGGCAGTTGAAACAACGCTGCAGATTTCTTAAATCCCCCAAACCTCTGTCCACCCAGCAGTGTTAAATCGTCCAGTACGTCTGGTCACTATGTACGTATGTTGAACTTCTTTCACGTAGTACGTAGCCAACGGTGCTAATCTGAGGTGCGGCGGAAGGACAACAAACTAAACAAAAAAAGTAGTGCTCAAGAAACAAGTTTTCGATCTAGATTTAAAAGTGCATAGCGCCAGTGACTTCATTATATCGGAAGGAAAGAGCGTTCCAGACGGCCGCATAAGCTCATCTAAAAGCACGTTATGCTAGACAGGGGTCGGCAACCAAAATAACAAGAAGAGCCATTTCTTTCCAATTCGGTACAAAATTCAGTATTTCAAGAGCCGCAATGCATCTGAGTACATACTGTACATACGTACTCATCGTCAAGAAGCAGCCCGTAAAGAGCCGCATGCGGCTCCGGAGCCGTAGGTTGCCGACCCCTGTGCTAGACAAAAGTTGCTGTGAGGATGTGTGGCAGAGTAGGCCAGATACCTTTTAGTAGATGAGCTCTCTAGGGCTCCCTCAATTCGAGGCCTTTTCACCAACAGTGGCTTGGGCAAGAATTTGCAGGGCTGCACCAAACGGTGACTGTCACATTATCTTATCTTGAGATTTGAAGAAAGATTTTGAGGAAATTATTTTTTACGGAAACATTTTTTGGAGCTAATTGTTTTTTTTACAATATGTAAATTTATATAAGAGAGATGATACATCTTTAAAGTTCGCATTTGAGGGAAATCGTCCGCATTGCAACCCCATGTTTGTTGTGGAATGTCCATATTCATCAGATGGGGGGAGGTTTGTGCATAGAACATCTGCTGACAGACTAATGCCCATTTGCAGACCAGTGCTGCATTTGTCTTTTTCACACACAGAGACAGCTGCCACTGGGGGGGGGATCCCCTTGGCTAGACTGAAGCAGGTCATCGAAATGGTTGCTACGTGGTGCTTTGAGTGACGGAGGCAATTAAGCGTCCTGAAAATGCGCAAATCCTTAAAAAATGTACAATAATGTAAATACGTTGTATAAGAATGCAATGGATTCTTAAAAAAACCATGCAAAACAATAACGCAGGAAATAAAAACAAAAAATGATGTACATATTTTTAATTGTGAAAATTTGTTTACAATAACAATGCTGTCGATATTTTAAACGTAATTGATGTGGCCGCATGAGTAGTATAATGAAACTGCAGCTGCATGTCCACACTACCGTATAGCATTATGACTGGGCACCCAGTCTGCTGTGCAAGATATATTCAACCATTCCGAGATTTACGCACGGTACAACGTTGCACATCTGACGCAGAAATGCTAAATAGGCAGAGATATATCGCAAACTGCTTTAAACAAGGGTCAAAAGCTTCACTGTGCTCTAGAAGTGAGCGAATGTACGCAAGATTAAGAATACATTTCTGTTTGTCAAAAGATTGTGTAATTGAACATCTGTAAAAACCACAGTTGCATCATGCTTCAAGTGCTGCATTGGGTGTGGGCGGTTAGGCGGCCAGGGTAAGATATACGATGTGACTACGTTCGGGATATGTGACGTATCACCTGGAATAATTTTTAAATGCTGGTATTGATTTAGGGACCCAATCTTTGGGTTCCGCCTGCAAACCCGGTCATTCTGGCGCCCTACGCTTAAACGCCGGGAAGAGCGGAGTTTCGGTCGATATCTCGGGAGCAAACATAAGGCAAGGGCTTACGTGGTTTTGTTAGAATGCATTAGGTTGCAGCATCATTTGGATTGAAGCACACCCCTTGGGAGCAAGGCCATGTTAGCTTATATCAGAAGTCGTGTGCTTGTACCCAAAAAATGCCCATTGCCTTCCCCCCACCAGTGTAAAATGTAAGGACGTGTTGCTTATAATACAACTGTGCTTGTATTACGTGTGCTTATATGCATCTTAACTGTCTTTAAAAAAACGACTTCTCATTGTAAAATATCTACGGTCGTGAGATGCGTTACCGGGTAGCGTGTCATCCAATCTTAATATTCTGACTTTTGTACTCTGATGGGGGCTCGTAGATGAAGTGCACATTACGAGAGCAGGAGTAAGTCAACTCGATTACTGCGATCGAGGAACGGCAGTCGGCCCGATTAAGATGTTTACATCAAAAGAAAGTGCCATTATTGCTTCCAGAAATGAGAATACCCAACTACTTTGGTCCACTGCCTGCTGTGTGTGAGATATCGTCGCGGTCGTGTTGTTTTTGGCTTTGTGGCAGATGTTTTTTTTAAATCTTCATGATATATGAAACAAGAAAAACACGTGTTTATGCGCGTTAACGCAAGCATAAATATGCGTAAATAAATTGTGAGTCTGGTTTAGCGGAGACACGTTCATGGCTCATCACGATTGGCTGGGAAATAACTTTGCCTAACCTAAGCGTTGTATATTTGTTTTGTTTAAAATCCAGTGGTGGTTGGTCGGTGTGGGCTTACTGGAGCCGCATCCCCCTTTAAATGTTACTTTAAAGAGAGAGCGTTTAAAATATATCTTAATTTTTAAGTAAAAAAAAGTTAAAACCCCCATTTAAAAGTAAAAAAAAGGGGCGAATTTAAAGAATTAATTTTGTTTCAGAGTTGAAACGATCCGGACAAGAATTGAAGAATGGGGTTCCAGATTCCACAACTCCAGTAAGATCCACATTGTGGCTTCTCAATGGCTGATTAACCATAAATACCATATCAGCCCAAGCCAATATCGCGGGTGTATTAACCATAAATACTATACATCGTCTGCTTCACCGTGGACATTAGAAGTTCTTCGAAAAGAGCAGGGCATGGATTCCAGCGTCACGGTCCACATTTGACAAATTTGCTGCAGACTAACTCAATTTGCAGATTAAAAGAGCAATCGTCGCCAATTACTACAAAACTACTGCATACAGTACTTTGTGAGAACCTTGGTGATAGCCCTTTCGCTCCAAGAATGCCAAGAATGTATTAAGTGTACCAACGATTTCGTTTGAACGGCACCAACCCACCAAATGTGATCCAACAGCCGCCAATCTTACAAATCTCAGTGATGAAGCTTTCGGTATAGGGTGTTTTCTCAATTCTGTGTGTGCTTTGAGACGGCTTTCCAGCTGGCGAGTTAAAACTACTAAGCAACATCGCTGTCGCCTTAGTGTCTTTGTATTGCTGATTAACTTGACCTCTCTTTCACTTAGCGAAACGTTGGAATCTTGCCTGTTTGACGACCGTGTTTATGAATTGATCGAACTCAAGTTTTTAATGCGGAGAAGGGAAAAAAACAAGTATTTTGTAAAAAAAAAATATGTACAGTTTTGGCACTCGTAATTTCACGTACATTAATGTCAGTATTGATCTATATTTTTGTTGCAGTAACCAATAAATTAGTCACTTTAGCGCCTTACAGGTGATCAAAAGAGAAACTCAACACGGAGTGATGAAGTGTTAGTGTGATTTCCGTCGTTGAAAGGCTCAATGCTATTTCTGTCGGCAGTTCCATGTAGATTGAATAGACGTAGCGAAATTAATCCAAGGTCGGTTCAGAAAATATACTACGTAACTAAAATGATTATTAATATTTTATGAGAAAACGAAGTGATTTGATCCATGTACCTTTCTACCTGTAAATTATATATTGTACATTAAATACAATTTCAAGTCAACTTTCATGTTTTATCTGTTTGTGTAAATATATTTGTATTTTTTTTCCTTTCGATTGCATCCTTGAAGCCCATGTTTACCTTGCCCTTATCAACCATGGTCATTTTATACAGCTGGGCTATCCGATGATTCCGGTAATCGGTTATTCTGCCGGTTATCGGGTCGAACAAACGACTAATCGGATAACACGGAAACACTTGGGGCGGGGGGGAGGAAAATAAAAACACATTCCTGCGGAGGGAGCTGGTAGGAACGTTGGGTTGCTCGGTCAATGGCCTGCAGGGTCAACGGCGGCGTGGTGTATTCCGCAAATATGGCCGACTGTGAGGGCGGGCACAAGCCGGCGTGAGTAGGTTAAACGTTGAGTTTTATAAGGGCACCACGAGGTGACCAGCCCCTCCCCACCCAGCCCCTCCCCACCCTCCCTTCCCCACCCAGCCTCTCCACCCAGCCCCACCCCTCCCATTTTTGTATGCACGACGGACGGACACAATAATCCCCTGTGGGCTGGTGGAACCAGGTGGTTCCTACCAGTAAGATTTTCTACTATCACCGTTACGCTGGATGAGAGAGATGATGGGCAGGACTTGATAAGCCACGTCACGTGGCTTTTATGGGGTTTCCTGCCTTCAGGAGGGCCTATGTTTGGGATTTTTTCCAAGAATAATTTGAAAATCGGGAGCACGTCCCTACTCGACAGCAAGAACGTCTCTTGTGCCATGCTTACTCCGAGCTGTGCCGTGCGCGCACGCAGAGTGATTGATCATCGCTTTACAATGCCCCAACAGTCTGTTCGGGCTATAGAGGGGATCTTTGTGCGTTGAACTTCGTTCCTTCTGTACGTTGCCGACCGTGCGAATCGGAGGTGCAAGTGCCGATACCCAACATCGATTAAAAGCCGGCAAGGGGGTGAGCTTGATCGGCACCATGCCCGGCCGCCTTTGTCTCCCCCAGTGCTGATGTTTACACAGCACCGGTGTGTCCACCACTAACCCGTACATGACACAGACACTGCGTCTGTGTCTACCACTAACCCGTACCTTATACTGGTAGGAACCACCTGGTTCCATCAGTCCACAAGGGATTATTGTGTCCGTCCGTCGTGCATCAAAAAATGGGAGGGGTGGGGCTGGGTGGAGAGGGGCTGGGTGGGGAGGGGCTGGGTGGGGAGGGTAGGGCTGGGTGGGGGGTGGAAGGGGTGGGGCTGGGTGGGGAGGGGCTGGGTGGGGTGGGGCTGGGTGGGGAGAGTGGGGAGGGGTGGGGCTGGGTGGGGAGGGGCTGGGTGGGGAGGGGAGGGGTGGGGCTGGGTGGGGAGAGTGGGGCTGGGTGGGGAGGGAAGGGGTGGGGCTGGGTGGGGAGGGGCTGGTCACCCCGTGGTGCCCTTATAAAACTCAACGTTTAACCTACTCACGCCGGCTTGTGCCCGCCCTCACAGTCGGGCATAGTTGCGGAATACACCACGCCGCCGTTGACCCTGCAGGCCATTGACCGAGCAACCCAACGTTCCTACCAGCTCCCTCCGCAGCAGGACAATGTGTTATAGACACTGTGTCTATATACGTGCACTGTGTAATGCAGCAACACGCATAGACACAGTGTGGAGTCACGTGACACGTGTCGTCACAGTGGTGACGTCACCAACTACGTAATCACCGGAAGTGGTACCGTCCGCCCACAATGCAGTGGTGTTTGGCACGCGTCTGTTGCGCTCCTCGACCACGTTTTCGTTCAACTTCTACTGACATCGTCGACCAAAAGTCGTCAACATCGTTAGCGATTCATTGTGAACATCTACAACTTGGGTTGTCTTTCTGAACCGTCAAAACGTGAGTACAGCTGACATCCCCCCACCTGCTTTGGTGCGACACCACGTGGTAAGCACGTGGTGTATGTGTGCTGCACCTACACACGCAGTGTCTACCACTAACTCGTGCACATATTGTCTATGCAGTATAAACACGCAGTGACCCGTATACACACACACTCTGTATATCCGCTGCGAGATGTGAGTGGTAGAGTCACGTGACAACACGCCCGGTAATGATAGTGACGTCGTCACCGTCACGTCACCTCAGGACGTGGTGACGTCGGCCCACAATGCAGTGGTGTAGCAGGGGCCGGATTAAGATTTTGTATGCCCCTGGACTACAGGTACTGTGAAGCCTCCCAATAATTATTAAAAAGGAAAACAGATTTTGATTTACAGCTTTCGTGACTGCAGGGATTCATATTCTTGGTCTTTTCGGTAAAGTCACGTAGAATGGAAATAATAAAATAATATAAATATAAAACTATAAAAATTCTCATGACGTTTCGACTGCAACACAAGCAATCATCATCAGGTGTGAAATCCACAGCAAGAAAATAAAAAAACCTTGTTGTGGATTTCACACCTGATTATGATTGCTTGTGTGCAGTCGAAACGTGATAATTTTTTATTGTTTTATATTTATTTAATTATTTTTATTATTTCCCTTTTATGTGACTTTACCGAAAGAACCAAGAATAAGGAAAACAAAATTAAAGAAAAATAAAATTGTATTTTTACAAGGCTAAAAACAAATAAAATTCAACATTCACAAAAGAAATAACTTTGGTTCTTTCGGTAAAGTCACGTAGGTATAAAATACATAAAATCACGACGTTTCGGGCGCAACACAAGTGCCCGTTTATTTTATTTTATACCTACGTGACTTTACCGAAAGAACCAACGAGTATGGATCCCTGCATTCACGAAAACTTCAAATCGAGATTAAATAACTTTTAACTTCATCTCTGGAGGCCCTCCAGCTGGCGGAGGCCCCTTGTCTGTAGCCCCTAAAGCCCCCACGCCTTAATCGGGCCCTGGGTGGACGCATGCATTCGTTGCTCTCTAAGCATCAGATCCTCCAACACTTGGTTAAACTTCTACTAATATCGTCTATTAACATGGACAAAGTGAACAATAGTTAAGGTATTTAGCAAAACGTCATTAACATCTACAACTCATTTTGTTTAAAACGTCAAAACGTGAGTACAGTACCTCGCCGCCTGCTTTGATAGCGAATCGGTACACACGAAACACAGACCCCCCCGTGTAAGCTTCACAACAAATACACAGACAGATGTCCCCCTGAAGGACGGCTGGGCCAAGGGTTGTTTGTGAGCGTCGATGTTGGCCCACACGGTCAGCACCACACCCGTCAGATTTGATATGTATAAAATTTACGCAGGAAAATGCAACAGCCACACTGTTCTGTGCAATTGATACAAAATTGTTGATGGCAATTGGCTTTAAAAAGTTTGGTTCAATAGTGCTATTTATATTGAGTTAGAGAGATGTTTTGTAATGTTGGTTGTGTATGTATGCAGTACGTACACACTGTCTGCCACCAACTCTTACATGATAGACACGTGTGTCTGTGCAGTACCAGATGCGGTATGGATATATTCCCACTAGGGAGACAAAGGCGGCTGGACGTGGTGCTGGCCACCCACCCCCACGTATGCCGTGTCGGGCTTCATAGGTCCTTGCTAACAGCACTTGCTTCTACAGTCTGTTTAGGCTATGCGGGGGATCTTTGTATTGTTCTTGTATGTATATTGAACTTCTTTGGCACCGTACGTAGCCAACCGTGCTAATTGGAGATCTTGTTTAGGAGCGATGGATGCTTCTAGTGCCACGATGTCTCTCCGGGCCCTGCTACTGGTGCTTCTGCTGCTGCTACTGGGTCCTGTGAGCCCTGCGCTCTGCTGCCTGCGTTGCTCCCCGATCTTCAATGACGTGCGGAATCAGCTTAAGGAGTCCATACCAGGGGTGAGCGTGGACCACAAGAAGGAGATGTACAAGATCATCACAGAGATTGGCAATAAAGAGGCCCCCATTCTATGTAAGTGGTGCTATCAAATTCCTGTCCTCTATTCACATATTTCAATCCCAGCTCTCAATCCCCACTCTCAATCCCAGTTCTCAAACCCCTCTTTTCCCAGCTCTCTTTCTACACTCCCTTTGATGTTATTCTGCCCCTGTTTTATGGCGGTGGTATGGCATTGCTGGTAGCATGTTCGCCGCTAGTTGCAGAGGGTTTCACGGTTCGAATCCAGCGGCCACCCTGGCTATTGCTGCGCTGTGCAATAACCGTAATAAACTACGCACTGTCCGCTTCGCTTAGAGTGGACATGAAAGATCCCCCGATGTCATTCTAAGAGTAGGCCATTGTGTACTTACGTCAGGGTCCAAATGTGTCAAATTCGAAAGTGATCCACAAATGACTACATTTGGATTATACACATCATTGTCCCTTTGCTGGCAGATTAATACCACCCAAGGTCACTCTTGCAAATGACACTCATCCTGGTCTCTTAAGTTCTCACCGGGTTAAACAAAACAATCATCAAAACTTGAAGTATCATTGAAAAATTACTTTTTTCAGTTTTTTCTTGTAAATGTCAGGAGGGTCTTGCCAAATGTTGCATTCATGGACAATGCGGCTGTGTGTAATTCCAAATGAGTTATTTGCGGGTACATTTTCAGCATTGGGATGTTTGCCCAATTCCACAACAAATTGTATAGTTTAGTTTGGCTTTGGGAGGAAACTGGACAACCTGGAGAAATCCCATGCAGAACAGCGACAAAACATACAATCTCCACGCAGAAAGGCACTCAAGTCGAGAATCAAACCCAAGAACTTATTTTTGTGAGGCACGAGTGTTTCCACTGTGTTGCCCTGTCGCTTATAAAAAAATATAATAACCCTTATTGCCATTGCTGTTAATCGTTGGGTATTATTAATACTGGTAGAAACCTCCTGGTTATACCAGCCCACAGGGGATTATTGTGTCCGTCCGTCGTGCAGAGAGGGGCTGGGTGGGGAGGGGAGGGTGGGGAGGGGCTGGGTGGGGAGGGGAGGGTGGGGAGGGGCTGGGTGGGGAGGGGAGGGGCTGGGTGGGGAAGGTGGGGCTGGGTGGGGAGGAGAGGGTGGGGAGGGGCTGGGTCGGGAGGGTGGGGAGGGGCTGGGTGGGGAGGGGCTGGGTGGGGGGTGGGAGGGGTGGGGCTGGGTGGGGAGGGGCTGGTCACCCCGTGGTGCCCTTATACAACTCAACGTTTAACCTACTCACGCCGGCTTGTGCCCGCCCTCACAATCGGGCATATTTGCGGAATACACCACGCAGCTGTTGACCCTGGCTATTGACCGAGTAACCCAACGTTCCTACCAGCTCCCTCCGCAGAAATCTGTTATAATCCTACATACCCTAGGTCCTAGACTTAACCCTAACAACACCTATTATAACGCATAAAACACGTTGGATTTAATAAACCCAAGCCAAAACAATTAACTGAAATCAATAACACGTATAATTAATTCTAAGCGAATATTGCTCAGAAGTTAAAGGTCGTGTTGCTGATGCTTTAATGGAACTGTCAGAGAAAGTTGACAGTGGTGATAGTTGATGGTAATCGATGATGTTGATGTCTTCACAGTTGATTTTGTGGACGTGGCTCCCGTGTTCCTGAAGAGGATTCTCGACATTATTGACTCCATGAGGCCAATGGGTGAGCATTACGCTCTTCACACACTCGCCACCACACTCAACACCACCAACAAACCATCCACAGCGCACTCAACACCACATCAACAAATCATCACACACAACCACCCTCACCAAACTCACAATCACACCAACACACGTAACCCCGCACTCACCAACACCCCAACAAACCATCACACTTGCCACCGCACAACTACGCTCACCACCACACGCCATGCTCACCGCCGTAATAAGCAAACATGATTTAAATTAAGCAATGGGCGTCGCAGTCTTTCCTCATTAACACAAATTACTTTCTGATGCTGCTGTATTGGCAGTTGTCCACGAGTACTCAATCATAAACACAACACATTTGTCAATAAGACTGTGGCCTTAACAAGAAAATGAAATAAATAGGTGTTGTTTCGTGCAATGGCAGAATGTACGACGAACAATCGCAGATCTTGTCATACACATTGTGTTTATTGTTTCACGTCAATTTAAAGTTTGTGAAGTGGTAACTGTGTCGTGAACCCCCCCCGCCCCCACTCTTAAATGAGGTAAAGCTGCAGGGTTGCCGCTCCACCCTTTCACCTCCCTCACGCCACTGCTAGTCAATCTCACACCACGCCACTGGGCAGTCTGAGAGTCGCGCTGCGAATGAAATTAGCATTGGAGTCGGTGTACATTGTCTAATCCGTCGTTGTGGTGTCTGTCTCTATCTCTACAGTACTATTAGGTGGCATCCGGATGGCCAATAATCCAGGTAACACTTTCATTTTTAATTAGTAGCATTATTGACAATGTGGTGGGTTTAGTCCCTTTGCCAATATGAAGGTGGAGTGGCAACCAGGTTAGTTCTCTCTGCAGAAGGGGACGACATGTGTATCGCTGGAAACGCCTGAGCAGTCGACTCGAGGAATCTGGCGTGTGGGCTCGCACGGCTGGAGAAACATTTTCTTGATGCCCAAATGTGTTTTGAGATCGTGTTTACCTGTTGAATTATTCGTTTAAAGTTTGCTCAGCGTCGAGTTTGGTGTGTGCCACCTTGAAATAAGGTCACGCTCCAGGGTTGCCCCTCCACCAGTTAACCCTTTCAACTCTCTCCCCTCCTGTTTTCAAGCGACTGCTCGTCAATCTCACGCCACATCACTGGGAGAACTTGCGCATTGCGTGTTCTGAGATTTGCGCTCCAAGTTGAAGTAGCATTGGAGCCGGTGTACATTGACTCATCAGTTGTTGTTGTTGTCTCTCTCTGTGCAGAAAAATCGGGTCCGAAGACCGTCGATGTTCCAGGTAACACTTGAACTTGTTTAAGTAGCGTTGACAGGAATACTGTTACATATTTGTCCATGCAGTCAGATTCTATAAGTAACGGATGAATTCCAATCACCATTGCGCCCCGCCGCTGTAGATGATGAAAATGAATTTGTCTCATCGGTGGAGACTGTTGCAGACATCTGAGCTGTCACAAACCGAGGCCTAAATAAAACATAATTTAGAAATAGTAAAAACTATTTTACAAACACATCAACCACACTAGGGTTGTGTGAAGAAAGTTCCAAAGTGCCAACGAAAAGGGGGAGTCAGACAAGGTGGCACGCTTTTACCAACATTATTCACAGCGACATCGGGGGGGGGGGGGGGGGGGTTGGCCAGTTTCATGTAAAGGCGCGTTTCACCGGGAGCGGGAAGGAATCTGTACCCAGAGAAAACCCATACGTCTGAGGGCATAGCACCCAAAGGCCAACACAGACGGATTCAAGAATCCACTTGATGTACTGCCAGCCAGTTTGGGTGAAAAGTCTACGTGGTCCACCAACCCTTGCCTCCAAATTCTGATTTGTAGACATGCGGCACCGAATGTGGTTGATAACTAGAGAAATTGTAAGAATTGTAAAATGAGAAACTATTCAGGAAGGGGTCCATAATAACTCATCATTACATAATTTTTCATGGTAATACTGGTGAATGTGTTGATGTTTTTAGCGATCGCGATTGTGGTGATGGTGTAGATGGTACAGATATTGGCGGTGTTCTTGTATCTACAGATGTTCTATCAAGATTAATCGCTGTCGGAACAGAATACGAAGAAAAGATGGAAGGTGTGAGAATGAAACTGGAATTGAGAGGCTGAGACAAAACGCGTGTTTCCCATGGCCAGTGTTTAGCCGCAGGGCTGGCCCTGGATTGGTGTCGTAGCTGTACTTTATTTAGTTTTTCTTTTGTCATGTTGGTGACCCAGGTCACTCGTGTAAATAAGACTCCTAGATTTGAAGCTTTCGTGACTGCAAGGATTCATACTCTTTGGTTTTTTTGGTAAAGTCACGTAGGTAAAAAATAAAATAAAATAAGTGAAAGCAACTAAATTAAATCACGACGTTTCGGGCGAAAACACAAGCGTCCTTCTTCAGGTGGGGACAACGTAGCGAAAGCACAGCCGCTTAAGTGTGGGTTGCGCCCAAAACGTCGTGATTTAATATAGTTGTTTTCATTTATTTTGTTGTATTTTTTACCTACGTGACTTTACCGAAAAAAACAAAGAGTACAAATACGACTCATCTCGGTCTCTAGAGTTCCCACCCGGTGACACAAAATCAACTTGAAACTGGAGGCTTGGTCATCGTGACTCAACAACGTTCTCCCCAATCCTTCCCCCACCTGTGCTTTCCGAAACAAGTTAACTGGGACTGCGATTGATCAAGACGGGAAATCAGGGGAATGAGACACTATTGAAGTTACAACGTTAAAACCTTGAGTTAAAAAGCATTTCCAAACTTGGATAATTCAGGTGTCTAATACCACAGCAGAGGTGTGAGTGAGCATGGTCGAGACCTGGGTTTGATTCCCGCCAGATAATTAAATGATTATCCTGCTGAGGTGCTCCACGAATGGATATTAAGCAGCCAAAGATTTAATGGAAAAAAATCAACACGTTCCTTCGGAGTGGGCAGGTAGGAACTTGGTTGGACAGCGCATTCGTGCACGACACAAAGCTCGCGGTCACGTGACACACTTCAACCAATCCGGGATGCGTACATGTTTGGGAGGGGCTATGCACGACAGACAAATAATCCCTGGTGGGCAGTGTGGAACTGTTGTTCCTACCTGTATCAGGTTAGACATTTATCATTAGCAGCAGCAGTAGCCATGTTCAATCCACTGCTGAAGGCTTCCCCAAGCAGTTACTGTCTGCAATGGTCCTGCGATGTAACATTGAAACCTAGCGCCTGCACACGAGCTCAATTGATCAGGTGCCATGACCATTGCATGCTTGCTCATTTGTGATTGTGATCATCGCCCTTGTTCTTTTCTCTACAGAGATTACACAGGCGCCGTGCGAAACCTGTGGTAAGTGATCGCACATCCCAATCGACACCCAGAGGCTATGCACACACACACACACACGGCACGTTCATTCATTCCACACCCGATTTGTTGTGAACAAACCCTTAACAGAGCTGGTGATGCCACATTGTCACGTGCTGGGTAATAATAAGTTACGAACTGTTGCTCATCCTGCCCATCACCAGAGATTCTTCTGCGAGAGTCAACACCTTCTCACATTACATGTTGTCGTCATGTTCATCACGGACAGCCAGTCCCATGACTGCTAGGTAATGGCCTTGCCTTCTTGGTGCCAATTCAAAGTCTCATCCTTCTGTAATCATCTCCCTCCCACGAGTCGATTCCTTCTCTCTCTCACTCCCAGTTACCAATTCTGGTGCTACATTAACTTTATTTCCGACCACAAGAAGGAAAAATTATCTTAATAAAAACTCACAATTCCACACATGTAACCACGATGGCGACATATCAAAAAATCTAAATATGTATTCATACCGGAGGAATCCCGTTAGCCATAAAGCTATTTTATGCAGACCTCCAGTAGGGGCGGATCACAAAATTACAACAACAAACAATACAAAAACACGATAGGAGTGCAAAGTATAGGAAAGGTAAACAAATCAACACACCACCCACAAGGACCCCCGTTTAGCCTTTAACAGACTGTTGTAGCAAGTTCTGTTAGCGAGCACCTATGAAGGCTGGCACAGCACACTAGAGGGCAGAGGTCGCAAGCAGGTTTTGATTCCTTACCCATACCCGGCCGCACCAGGGTCACAAACGGGTACCCGTACCCGGCCAGGTACGGGTAGCCGGGTATCGGGTAGGGTACGGGTATCGGGTACCCGATTGCGACCTCTGCTAGAGGGTGGCTGGTCAACGCCACACCCGGCCTTTGTCTCCCCGATGCTTATGTTTACATCCTGCACCAGGTACTCATTTAATGCCAAGCCGACCTAGGGAAGGAACAGGACCAGTTAATATATTTATTACCGATGTTAGCTGCGAGCAGGAATCCAACTCGGGTCACCGGGTTTGTATAGCAGTGCGATAACATTTCACTACCACTCATATAGGTACGCACACATACATGCTCCTCTGCTAATGATGCTCATAGTGATGTTGTTTTTGTTGATGCAGCTAGGAAATCAGTGCCGGCAATGAAATGTGGCAAATGTGAACGGGTGGTCATCACTTGCTCCTCATGTGGTAAGAATACATCGCACTACCAAACTACACTGCGCTGACACACCTCATATATGCCCCCACCACACTCATACACTACCACCATGCACACCACATCCCATCATGCGTTTGCGCAACAACTGCTCACACTGCATTGTACATACCACCTTTTTCCACGTGTAATACCACAGGCAGCCACACCTCACACACGCATTCTATGTAACACACAAACCACATATTACACGCAAATAACGCCACACACTTCATCACAAACACTGAATCGCCACATTAACTCCCTTCACATATTTGCACACAAACACTGGCGGCCATGTTGTTTTTCACACACACTGGAGGCCATCTTGTTTTTCAATGGCAATTTTAGTTTCTCTGTTTAATAACAGTCGAACAATGGTCAAATGCATTTAACGGACTCTATGCACATTATAGACGTGAAAGACCAGTGCATATACAGTTCCATGGCACAAATTTGCCCAATTAAAACCAATTACCCTGCAAGTGAATCAATTGTAATTAGACGTAGAAACCATCTCCCACTCCTGCGAAAACTTGGCAGGACCTTCCTGAAAATTAGTCACGAGACTCAGCGAGGTTCATTTTGGTAAAAACAGTGTCATAAATAATAATCTGAACATTTCTTTACATATAACGCACGTTAAAATGTCGTGATTCAGTCGAGCACAGAATAGCCTGCTATCACAAACTACAGGATATAAATTTTAATTCACTCTACAAGCGTAATATGCATAGTGTGGCATGCTACGACATGTTGCGGTGTGTTGTCATACTATGATGCAGTGTGGTATAGCATGAATGACGTGGTGTGGTGTGTTTTTAGTTTCAATCAAGAAGATGCTTGCCAACCCCGACATCATGCGGATAGGAGGAGGGATTATGCTGTCATGCATCCTCCTTTTCATCATCGGCATTCTAGGTAAGAGGGAGGGCTGTCGGGTTACACGTTGTATGAATGTTTAACTTCTTTCCCACCGTACGTAGCCAACCGTACTAATCGGACGTGTGGGTCACTGGGCCATGGAAACCAGACCTGCACCCTGCCTAATGCCTCGGAACCTTGATGTTTCAATGCTTTGTTGAATTTGTTTTATATCGCTGGCCGGTACTAAGATATTTGGTCAGTTGGTGGTGTCCCAAACAAGACACTTGTAGAGCATCCAACATTCTTAACCTGAAAACACACACGGGACTGCATGGGTCTCTATGCAAGTCTATACTTCTGAATCTTGATTTGAAGCTTTCGTTAGTGCAGGAATCCATACTCTTTGGTTCTTTCGGTAAAGTCACGTAGGTATAAAATAAAATAAATCACGACGTTTCGGATGCAACACAAGCGTCCGTCATCAGGTGGGAAAGCATGGTCTGCTGCTGAAGCAGACTGTTTTAAAAGGTTTGAAATGGGTGTAGCCCAAGGGTCATTTTACGTGAATCTATGCTTCTCTGTGTGAGTCTATGGGTCTCTATGTGAGTCTATAATTCTCTGTGTGTGTCTGTGGGTCTCTATGCAAGTCTGTGGGTGTCTGAGTCTATGCCTCTTCATGTGAGCCCATGAGTCTTTGTGGGAGTCAGTTGGTCCCAATGTTAGTAATTTACATCTCCAAACGAATAATCTCCCGGAGCTGATTTGCGTTACAATTAAGTTATTATTTAACGTTGCTTTATATTTGTGCAATATTTTCGATTTCCTGTATTACACATTTTTTTAATTCCGATTTTTATTCACTCCATTACTGTACTTTTTAAAATTTCTTTTGCTTTCATCATGTTGGTGATCCAGGTCACTTGCAAATGAGAGTCATGCTGTTCTCTTGAATTCTCACCTGGTTAAACAAAATCAACTTGACTTTACTGTGGCCTCTATATGGATCCATGCGAGTCTGATTTTCGATTGTGGTGAAGTGCAGTCCATCGCATCGCCGCTCATTGTCCAATGCACGCTTCCTTCAGGAGGTACAAATGTAATCCATTGGCTACTTCAGGTGCCATTAAATGGCATTACTAACCCAACACGCGCAGTTATGAACTCGCTTTCTCTACTCGTACAATGCCGTAAGAAAGACGATGCATGTGGTGCTTTAGTGACACGATGTGTGTAATGATGCCTCGTGCTGTGAAGAGGTACAAGTTGTGACATGGGAGTGCATGACGATGTGGTGTTTGTGTGTTACAGTAACATCATACAAGAAGGACGATGAGAAAGATCCTCCGGGTGGCATGCTGACGGAGGTTGTGTCTCACAAGGAGGAGTTGAAACCGGCTGTTCATTCTGAGAAGACAAAGAAGAGTGAAAAATCTGGCTCCATTCACCACTCTCAACACAAATCTCCCAAAGCTGGTAATTCCCCAGTCAATTGGTCCCCAATGTTAGAATATGCATCTCTAAGCAAATAATCTGCCCGAGATCACTTATGCTGCAAGGAATTATTTTAACATTGTTTTATCGTTGTACAATATATTCCAAGTCTCACGTGATAGTTCTTTTTATTCCGATTTTTACGTGCTCCATTACTGTACCGTTTTACATTTAGTTTTTTTAACACGTAGGCTTTCGCGACCAATATTACTTTTTTACTGATTAGCCGTGTCGGGTGGTGGAGGGTTACGACACATTTATAAATAACGCGATCTAAACCCAAAAACGTTGATTATGAATTTTGGTTTTTGTTTGTCATGTTGGTGAAATTAGTTAAGACTCATTCCAAGAAGAAAAGCAGCAGTGGACATAAAGATTCTGCCTCCAAGCACCACTCTAAAAGTAAAACTGACAAAGCTGGCAATGCCAAACACACCCAGAAGTGAAGAAAACTCCACAGCAGCACGGATGGGTGACATGCAGCAGCGCGGACGGGCAGAGTGAAGCAGCACGGACGGACAGAGCGGAGCAGCACGGACATTCAGGATGAACGCCTTGTTCGGGGACCGGGCATCGCGCCTTCTGGCTTTGGCATTCCTCGGCCAACTGGCGTGCCGTCTTCCACATCAGGTCATCGCACCGCGGTGGCCTGCGCTTCTTCGGCGGAGGAGTGGCTGGGCTGCACGGACTCTCTCTTGGCGCCCTCTCCTGGGGCAGGAAGACATCGCTGTTGGCATTGCAATGCCCAAGGCTGTGCTCGGCTGCCGAATTGGAAAACGTATCCCATGCGCTAAACACACACAGGCCTTGGCAAATACCTAGGAAACTTAAAGGTGTTAGCCCCGGTATCAGATCCCCTCCGCTGAGTTTTTCACCCCTAGCCTGCCTAGCGAGAAAAAATGGTCTGGGTTTTCTCGGGAGGAGGGAAATTGACAAAGATTTGATATGCAGGGAATGGAACAGACTGGCGATTGTGGGAGATTAAAGGACGATGTTACTAAAGAACTTTATTTCTCTTGCAGAAGTGCTGCAACTGTTCAAACCATTGTCGGGGTTTTCTCTTTTGCATTGGGTTCATACAATAAGATGAAATAAAAAGTGATCAGCATCATATTGGTATTGGCTGTTAAGATTAATTATTCTCTGATAACATATGCATTGTCTTTGAAACTGATTTGTCCACATCAGACTAATCCAGACAGGATTCCTTGATTGGTGTTTTAACATCTTAACGCCTGTTTTATTGCCAGAAAGGGTAAAACCTTGATTTGAAGCTTTCGTGACTGCAGGAATCCATACTCTTTGGTTTTTTTGGTAAAGTCACGTAGATATAAAATAAATCGCGACGTTTCGGGCGCAACACAAGCGTCCATCATCAACCAATAAGCTGGGAATCAGAGGGTGGCAGAAAAGAACGCTTTGTGTGACGGCTACGGAGAGGAGAGAGACTGTTTCTTGCTTATATTTACATATGTTTAAATATTGTTTAAGAAAAAGTTTGTACTAAACTCAAGCGACTCCTTTTTCTAGGCATGGATGTTATTACACCACTCACGCTACCAGCTGGATCTTAGAAGTTTGTTTTTCACGAACACGCAGTTGCGCAGTACAGTACTCAAGCTCTTATAATTGTCATTCTGTCATGGGGGGGGGATGTTTGGTCCTTGTAACTTGTAAACATCTGTAATTTATGGGGTTAAAATCCTGTGTTGCTGTGTTCCAAGAGCCATGGGTGCAGGGGCTTCAGGTGTTGGAGAGTTTCATGTTTGGATCAAGTACGATAGAGGGTTTAATGGTTTAAATTTGTGTAAGGTGTCAATTCAGAGACACTAATAGTAGGAGGCATACACGTTTATTCTACACTTTCCACAGTATAGGGGATAACTATATATGGGTCAGGACAGCCGGCACGCTGCCTGACCCAATACCGACGAGGAGGTGAAGACGATGGGTTCTGTTCCCAAACCACAGCAGCCCTGACCCAGCGTCGGGGCCTCCCTTTTATCCTCCCCAGCGTGGCCTGGCCCCGCCCTCGGCCACGCCCTCTTCTGGAACCCACCAGAAGGCTCTGGCTCTGCCCCACGTGTTCCTTCTGACGCCTTTACCCTACATCAGAGGTCGCAAACGGGTTTTGATTCCTTACCCGTACCCGGCCGCACCAGGGTCACAAATGGGTACCCTACCCATACCCGGCCAGGTACGGGTAGGGTACGGGTATCGGATACCTGATTGCGACCTCTGGGATGAAGCCATGTTGCAGGCGCGGGTGGGTTGATTCTAGGAACTTGAATTGTGAGAAGAGACAAGACGTTGGGAAATGAGTGACAAACAGTTACCAGTGACTCACGGCCTACCCGTACCCGGCCGCACCAGGGTCGTAAACGGGTACCCGTACCCAGCTGGGTACGGGTAGCCGGGTATTGGGTAGGGTACGGGTATCGGGTACCTGATTGCGACCTTTGCCCTACATCCCTGCCTATCACCTGCCCTGCTGGTAGACCGGGATATTACACCCACGATCCCTCTCTCTACCAGTAACCAGCGCTCCGTGCTGTAGTGACCCATTCTATGTCACTACATATGTACTGAACATACAAACCATGATCTTGTGTTTCTCCATAATGCCAGCAGGGTTGTCCATCGGGGCAAATCCCATTGTGTGGGCACCCCTGACACCTTCAAACTCAACCGGAAGTATTGCATTTGACACGGTGACGTGAAAGCGCCGGTAGCCCCAAAGTGTGGGGCCCGGGACATTCGCCCCGAATCGCCGTACCCGAGGGACGGCTCTGACAGCCAGGTGCTGTATTGTTAGGGGTTAAACGGGACAGTAAAATGTAGAAGTACCGTACAGCAGGTTTCTTGCATCGCAATTCACTTCGCAGGAGCAGTCTCTAAGGGTACAATTCCCCACCAGAAATGCAACTATTGGTGTCACGTTGGTTATATCCCAGCACCACCAGGAGCAGGGCCCGTTTCTATCAGACCCACAGCACCAAGTCCCCCACCTCTGAGCAGGGACCTCTAGAGCCCCTGTAAGCACATTCCCCTTCGGTCCCTCTCTCCTAGTAGAATTCCTTCACCCGAGGCCAGTAAGTTCGACCAATCTAAAGGGGTGGTCCAGATGTCTCGTAATTGAGTCAGCAACTGCTGCGCATTGCTTTTTTTTCCATCCAAAATTGCTCCTGTGGAAAATAGCTTGCTGTTTTCATCTCAGTATTGTCCATTTTGATGGAGCTTCTTTGTTAAATCTTTCACATGAATCATCTCGTATGCTTTTCATGGTTTCTCTGGTTTGTGATCTGTCATGATCTCATACTCTTCACTACAAGCCGTTCTTCAATATTGTAAGAACTCGTATGACGTATCTGAAACAAATAAGGTTAATTTAAAAAGATGAACATGCAAAGGAAAACAACGTTAGGGGTCAATTGGGGGTCACGTGACATCTTTACAACCCAGGTGTGTCGGTGCGCACACGATGAAAAGCAATCGCCCATCCAATCGATGAGCTTATTCATCAATGTATTGTTTCATGCAGCTTTTCGTTCATCAAGTCATTGAGTCAAGACGGGATCTCTGAACTCGCCCCTAACTCTAAACGGCCATTGCCCCCTCCCTGATGGATATACAACTCCAATCGCTTCATTGAGCAACTGGCATCAGCATAGTAAAACAATACACGCGACAACTCGAGTGTTTTGGTCGATTTATAAAGTAGCTTTAAAATCGGTAGTTTATTTTCACAATCAGAACCAAACGCACGTGGACAGCCGCCACCCACTGTGTGTTCTCATGACACGTGACACCGTAAGTCGTTTCCTATGGCATCATCCTGCACCGTTATGTGGAATCGATGAAGTTACAATTCTTAAAGGTAGAGATATCCTCCCATCACAAGATTCTAGAATCCTTGCCAATAGGAAATACCACTGGGAAATTGTTATATAACTAATTTATTCATAAACACATTCCTGCGGAGGGAGCTGGTAGGAACGTTGGGTTGCTCGGTCAATGGCCAGGGTCAACGGCGGCGTGGTGTATTCCGTAAATATGCCCGACTGTGAGGGCGGGCACAAGCCGGCGTGAGTAGGTTAAACGTTGAGTTTTATAAGGGCACCAAGGGGTGACCAGCCCCTCCCCACCCAGCCCCACCCCTCCCACACCCCACCCAGCCCCACTCTCCCCACCCAGCCCCTCCCCACTCTCTCCTACCCACCCAGCCCCTCCCCACCCTCCCCTCTCCACCCAGCCCCACCCCTCCCATTTTCGGATGCACGACGGACGGAAGCAATAATCCCCTGTGGGCTGGTGTAACCAGGAGGCTCCTACCAGTATAACTTTTATTCTCAGAACCGACTATAATTTAAATTTGCACTTGACACACATTGTACGATATGACACCAATTGAAATCTATTTGCCCACATTATTTCTGACACGTAATACTATTCATTCGACGTGAGTGAAAAAAGATCCTCATAGCTCATTGGATTTCTCCCACAGTCTAAATAATTAAAGCCGATTCTGATTTTCTATTTTACGTTGTGTTTTGGGAGCGAAAAAAAATATGGGTGGGTGTGTGTGTGAGTCGATTTGGTCCTGAATGGGTCGAGTATGGGTTTCATCACACGATGAAGTCCTTTGTCCAGCCTGAACATCAGAGCTGTTGTGTCGGGAAGACTGTACCATGTGAAACCAACCATAAGGAGGGTGCATTAAGATTTAACTCCACGCCTCCAAAGCACTTCTAATGCAGCTAAATGTGGATTGCCTCTGCCTAAAGGGTATTTTACAATAAGTAATTTATAATAGCTGACATGTAATGTCCTCGGGAGAGTGGTTTAGCGATTAAATAATAGCTTTAACATCATCACCAACACACCCTCCCCCTCCCCGTGAGAACTGGCGTGGATGGTTGTGCCCATGCTTCGTGGAGTCGTGGCAGGAGCAGTAACACGTGGGCGAACAGCTGTTCACAGGGCAGGCTGTGTCTCCGTGTCTGCCTGTCTCTCTGTGTCTCTCTCTCTGTGCCTCTGTCCATCTCGTCGTGTGTGTGTGTCTGTCTGTCGATCTGGATTGATGTCTGTGCGCTGATCTCTTTGTCTCAGTTTCTTTTTGTGTCTCTCTCGGTCTATGTCTGCCTGTCTATCTGTCATTGACGGTCTCTCTGCCTCTCTATTTGTTGGGCTGTCTGCCCGTCCGACCCTACATCCGTCCGTCCGTCTGCCTGCCTTCCTGCCTTCCTAATAGCCCAGTATCTGTCCGCCTGCCTTCCTGCCTGCCTATCTGTCCACCCTTCTGTCTGTACTTCCCATTCATCCATCCGCCCATCCCTCTGCCAACCCATCCATCTGCCTCTCTATCTGCATATCTGACCGTCTATCCCGAAAACCCACCCAACCCAACCAACCCCCATTCATCCCATCCCACCGCGTCTGCCGTTCTCTCCAGATATCTTGCCAGACAGACAACTCATCCGGACATCATCCTCCCGTCTGCCTATCCGTTCACCCATTCTGTTGTCCATCTCGTCCCTCCTCCCTCCCATTCACCCAAAGTTCACCCAATCTCCACGTGCGTCCACCAGCCCGCCCGTCCGCCTCTCGCCACGTGAATCTCGCGGTGTTACGGGGACCACCACCACCACACCACACAGCTCAGAGCGGCCACAGAGTCAAAGCCTCTGAAACGTCGGCAGAGACGGACGGGGAAGGAGACGAGAGGCAGGAGGAAGGGAAATGTCTTCGGGCGGGACGGACACGGACACGGGGCCGGGCCGTGTTCTGTTCGAGGCGGCTGGGTCCCCGCAGGAGGGCCACCCCGAGCAGCGGAGGCCGTGGAAGGTGACCGTCAAGTACGACCGCAAGGAGCTGCAGAGGCGCCTCGAACTCGAGGAGTGGATGGAGACGCAGCTCGGGCAACTCTTCCCCGGCGGCGTGAGTGGTGGTGGTGGTGGGGTGTGATGGTGGTGGTGGTGGGGTGTGTGGTGGGGTGTGGTGGTGGTGTGTGGTGGTGGTGGGTGGTGGTGGTGGTGTGTGGTGGGGTGTGATGGGTGGTGGAGTGTGATGGGTGGTGGGGTGTGATGGGTGGTGGAGTGTGATGGTGGTGGTGGAGTGTGATGGTGGTGGGGTGTGGTGGTGGTGGTGGGGTGTGGTGGTGGTGGTGGTGTGTGATGGTGGTGGTGGTGTGTGATGGTGGGGTGTGGTGGTGGTGGTGGGGTGTGGTGGTGGTGGTGGGTGGTGGTGGGGAGCGCTTGGTGGTGGTGGTGTGTGATGGAGTGTGATGGTGGTGGTGGGGTGTGAGGGAGTGGTGATGGGTGGTGTGTGATGGGTGGTGTGTGATGGGTGGTGTGTGATGGGTGGTGTGTGATGGGTGGTGTGTGATGGGTGGTGTGTGATGGTGGTGGTGGGGTGTGAGGGAGTGGTGATGGGAGCGGTTGGTGGTGATGGGTAGTGGTGGTGTGTGATGGTGGGGTGAGGTGTGTGGTGGTGGTGGTGTGTGGTGGTGGGGCGAGGGAGTGGTGATGGGAGCGGTTGGTGGTGGTGGGTAGTGGAGTGTGATGGTGGGTGGTGATGATGTGTGATGATGATGGTGGGTGGTGATGGTGGTGGTGATGGAGTGTGATGGGGGTGGTGACGGTGGGGTCGAGGGGTGGTGATGGTGGGGCGAGGGGGTGGTGATGATGGGGGTGTTGATGATGGTGGTGGTGGTGGGTGGTGATGGTGGTGGTGGGTGGTGATGGTGGTGGGTGGTGGTGTGCGATGGTGCGGCGTGGGGGTGATGGTGGTGCGGCGTTTGTGTGATGGGGCGAGCGGATGGTGATGTGAGGTTAGTGATTGGCCGAGGGGATGATGTGGGTAATGGAGCGAGTCCATAGTGATGATGATCTTGTATAGAGTGAAGTCATTATGATGGGGAGTTGGTGTGGTGATGGGGCTAGAGGTGGTGATGTTGGTGATTGTGGTGGTTGTGGTGGTGATTGTCACGGATGTGGGGGAGTTTGTGGCCGATGGTATTGTGATGATGTCTGTAGTGATGGCGTTGCGATGGTCAATTGTGCTGGCGGTGATGGTGCGAGCTTGTGTTCATGGCACATTCGTTGATGGCGTTCTACCCGTGACGGAGTTGGTAATCGTGACGGCGATTGTGCCATCTGTTTCTTCTTGTTGAATTCTATCCGCCCTTCGCTCTGCTCGTTGTTGTGAGCTTCGCCTCATCCCCGGTCTCTCACCCCAATGTTGAGCACGGGCGGTCAGCTGCCAATCCCACTCGTTACAATGAATAACACTGGTCAAGAAAAAAAAAATTCTGGCCTGGACTTTTGCAGCTGTTTTAGACTAATTTCAGGGTGCTGATTCCTAATCTGATCTCAGATTTGCTCTATCACATCTCATTTTATGCTATCGGCATACCCCATTTTCATTGATTTTGCCCGAAATTAACTCTGTCACTTATGATTGCAAGTTGTTGCGAGTCAGTGACTGCTTTAGTGTTAAAATATGGTGCTGTATTTTTAGGATAGTGTGTTTATAATATCATTTTATGTAGATATCCACATTTATTTAATATTTTTCTTCTGCAGTTTTTATTGAAAATGCAATATTTTATATCTCAAAAACCTGATGTGATAGACAAAAACTGATGCCAGCTTTGGAATCAGCACCCCAAAATTACCTGGAACCCGTTGGAATACCTTATGCCAGAAAAAGTGTGTTGACCAGTGTAATCTTTAAAGCCTCACCCAGTGAGCAATACAGCGTATGGGGCTCGACGTTGCAACCACATGCCACAAAGGACAACAACGTTTGCTGGTCGACCGGGACAATTCCCCTATTGGCTCCATGCGCCTGAGTCCTGATGGCTTTTTAAACTCCGAAATTTTACGAGACGCACCCCACCCCCATGCCACTCTATCCCCAGTATCACATTGGAGATGTCACTGTGATGTTGGTGGTGGTTGTTGTAGCGTGTGCTACGAAAACGATGTGAAAACTCAATTCTGTATAAAAAAAACTGCCTTTTGTGTTTCACTTTGTTGTGACCTCCCCGCGAAATAAGTTGAGCGCATACCAAGGGCCATTGCCCGAAACGTCGTCCTGTTATGTATTTGCATGTTTAAGGCGCGCGGTGTTATTGACCGAAGTGTTTTGAGTTTTCAGCAATGGGAGAGGGGCACGGCGCTCGATCGCTACGTCGGCAAATGTTCCAGCCTTGGTTCGATCCACTGCTGGATCAGAACCTGCTCCACACCACGTGGTTGCACTGTACCGGCAGAGTGGTTCATCACCTGGGGGTGCAAGATGCCCTTTCTGGGGGTGCGAGACGTGGCCAGATATGTTCTTGTTGTAAGGGGCCGTCCATAAATGACGTCACGCACCTTGGGGGGTGGGGGGGGGGTCAGACATTTGTGACGATGTGTGACGAGGGGAGGGGGGGTTGAGAAATGTGACGTCACATCAAAATGCGCAACTTTAAATAAATATAGACTAACACGTTCTACTTAATTAAATAGACTTTTTAATAAATGTTTTCTCCTACAACATCAGAGTGCAGCGGCACATTCAATACGCACTACAATGACAATAGTTTAAAGCGATTTGAAGCATGTTTTATTTAAGGGGGGGCATAGCTTTGTGACGTCATATTTGAGGGGGGGGGGTCTGACTTTTTGTGACGCCGTGTGACGAAGGGGGGGGGGGTCAAAAATTGTCCAAAATCGCGTGACGTCATTTTAATGGACGGCTCCTAAATAATCGAAAACACAAATTGAGCACGTGCAAGGGAGTACAGTATCTTTAGTAAAGGTTCAGGAACCGCTGGGTGTAGTCTATACCGCATGTCTGCACACAAGTGGCCGCTTGCACTCGGGCTGAACGATTAATCGATTTTAAATCGATTAATCGCAATTTGAAACAATGCGATTAGCAAATCGCAAAGGCTGCTATTTTTACGATTTTAAAAAGTCCTGACTTTCTTATTGGAATTGTTTTATTTTTGTAATTTTAATTACTTTATTTATTTAACTTAACAATTGTTCTATGTTTGATTGTTCTATTTCAATTAAAACATTTTAATAAATACACGTTGGAAGCTATTAATATCATTTAAGTTCTCATCCTTGCATTAGAATATATAGAGCAGTTCATATTTTAACGGTATCATGTGGTAATGCTCCATCACATGTTTTAAATCTATTACACAGTGAATATTGCACTGAAGCTTGACTTTTTAAAAAAATATCGCAAATCAAATCGCAATATCTGTCAGAAAAATCGCAATTAGACATTTTCCCCGAATTGTTTAGCCCTGACTTGCACTAATCCAGGCTCCCACCTTGCGAAACTTCCAAGAGCTGACGACATCGCTTGCGTTCAAGTCGATTTCTTTTCAAAGGCCATTGTGTTTTGTGTGTGTTAATTCGATCATTGGTGTTGTCTTGCAGTTTATTTAACATCCCGTCAAATTACCTTCACGTTAAAAAAAAGAATGCGTTTACATCCAAACATGAACCCCTGGGATGTAATTACCAGCGAAACGTCGTACTCAAATTGTAAATGTTGCGGATTTACTCTCCAACGTTTTGTTCACGTGACAAATCCCTTACTAATTGGCTGTGTCGGGTGGTGGAGGGTTACGACACATTCATACTTTTTTTTTTACGTGACAAATCCCTTACTAATTGGCTGTGTCGGGTGGTGGAGGGTTACGACACATTCATACTTTTTTTTTACGTGACAAATCCCTTACTAATTGGCTGTGTCGGGTGGTGGAGGGTTACGACACATTCATACTTTTTTTTTACGTGACAAATCCCTTACTAATTGGCTGTGTCGGGTGGTGGAGGGTTGCGACACACTCATGCTTACGCGATCTAACCCAAAAACCTTTATTATGAATAATATTGGTTGCGAAAGCCCGCTACGTGTTAAATTAACCGATAGCCACGTCACACAAGCTCAAAAAGGGTATCTGCATATAAGGCATATAATAAACAAGAGGAAGTATCAATACTGTACAGTACCAGGATATACTCAGTTTCTCAGTTTCATTTATTTGGTATAGCCTTGTGAGCCATTCGTCCCTTGAATCGGGTGGAACCGCAACAAACAAAAAAACATGAACAAGAAAACATCTTAAAGTGACTATGCGCAAACAGAAAAATCCAGGAAAAAACTGCAAAGTCTTCCAGAAAAAAAAGTGCAGATGAATACGAAGTACTATCATCTTCAGTCATTGTCAGTCCACTGGCAGTTCAAGGCCTCTCCAAGTCTCCACCATCTCGCGATGTTAAAGTCCACCCAGCACCTGCACACGAGATGACTTCATCGCTTCCATCTCCTCCATTCCACGTCAGTCTCAGACGCGTTCCAAACCTTGGCTGCCACTCTGTTGTTACTCTTGACCATCGGCCACTGTACACAATCTCACCATCACGCGTCCTTGCCCAAGCTCATTTAGTTTCATTAAAAGAGGAAAAAAATACATATTACAGCTGACTTAATCACTCGCAACGCCTCGGTTAGCATCCTTTCAGATGTGTTCCATCCCTTCATCTGCCACTCCATCATTATGCTTGACCTTCAGTTATCAACCTTCCATCCACCCCACGTGTTCCTAGCCAAGCCTGGTTACTTTAACTACCATATTAAGGGGGAAATTATAATCGCGATCAATAATGCAAGTCAATACTGCGTCCCACGCCGTACAAGCAATTTCATTACGGAGTTTAAGTAGGGAGAAATCCCAGCTGACGATGGCAAATTGGATAATCCCGACGCGCGCACGCACGCATGCCGAGCCGTGCTATCGCGAAGAGTGGGAGGCCGGAGGTCAGTATCAAGTTCTCGTGTGTACGACTTGAGAGTGCCTCTCGGGGTGATGCTTTCGATCACCGTAGCTGTTGAGAAATGTGCTCGCCAATCGATTGTCACGCTTTGTGAAAATGAAAAAAAAGCGGAATAAAAACTCAGGCGCGCCGAAATAATTCACGGAGAGATGTTACTGTATTGAGGTTCCACTGAGAAACGGAAAGTGGAACACATGGAATTGTATGTTGAACTTCTTTTGCACCGTACCTAGCCAACCGTGCTAATCGGAGGTACAAGCTAGAGACGTCTTATGGACTGTTATGAAAAATTAAGGGGCCTTGGGCAGGACGCACCACGGCTAGGAGAGAGGATGATGGCCAAAGGTCAAAAATAACAATGGGAGTGGCAGCCGAGGAACGGAAGGCGTCCGAGCATAATACGTCCGCCCAGGAGATGAAGCAATGAAATTTGTTATTGTGCACGGTGGATTATGACATCGCAGGATCGCGTGAAGTGGCGGTTAGCTCCGGCTTGTGCGGAGGCCGTGATCATCCAGCAGCGGATCGACCATGGCTGCCATCGATGACGATGTTGATGATGGCGATGACTGACTTTCAGCGGTGCTAAATTTGACGATTCGAACCGGACCACCAGATGTGTGCGACTTGCAATAAACGTTGTGTGTGTGAAAATAGAACGCGCTCAAGCAGGAAGGGCATGCGGTTTGACTCGTAGATTTTGCTGCTCTGCCTTGCAGCTGATAACAACGCCGTGCCCAGCTGTGGTTTGGCGTATATGTTCTGCTTTCCTTTTTAATAAGCTAATGGCAGGAGTTCACCCTCAATTGCATTATTGGTCCTCGTTAGCGTTGCAAAGAAGGTCAATTTGACTTATTCTAATGTGTTCAGGATTGCTTTAGGAGAGGCCGCTAATTATATTACCGCATGAAGAGCGAATTCAATTCATAGACATACACAGAAAGCTGCATATGTTTTTTGTGTTGCCTTTGCATCAGAGTTTATGATCCGTAAAACGTAAATCACGTGGAAATCTGCGCCGTGTCTGTAAAAAATGTAAGCAACTGGAAATCTACGCCAAGTGTGTTGTTCGGAAAAATAGAACGAATAGTAAAAGAGAGGAAGACCTAACATAGGATTACAGGTAGTCCCCGACTTACGATATTTCGATCTTACGATGGCGATAGCGATACGACAAAATTGTAAAATATTTTACATTTCGCGCGGCAGGCAAACGCAGCAGCGTACGAGGTACGGTACTGTACGTTGGGACGCTGCCGGGATGTACTGTACGCATATAGTTTATACAGTACGGTACTGTAAATTGCTCTGTTTTGCTAAATTATCACCATTCTTTAAGGCTCCTGGGTAGGCTATAGGTCATCTTCGACTTACGATATTTTCGACTTACGATGGGGTCGTCGTAACGCATCTCCATCGTAAGTCGGGGACTACCTGTACTTGACGACATCATAAGAGATTGGTGCCAGAAAGATGTGTCCACTACTTGATCATAATGGCACAAGACAGAGAAGAAAGTGGAAACAACAAATGACAAAATGCACAGTGGACATCTATGGGCTATCTGCCCACGAATTGTGATGATAATGATGATAATATGGCTCTATAATGGACCGTTCATCGCAGATGAGTGCAAAATCTTAACCTTAATAATAATAATAATAATTTCAAGTTGTAACAGTCGAGCAGGAAGGCAGCCAGGCCAGGTGAGAGCTGGCATCACGAAAAATTGTCTAAGCTCTGCGATTCTCTCTATGTATTTAAGATGCAGTAAGTTCAATAATGAGCACTGAATTTAAACAAGTCAGAGGAAACCGGAGCAGCAGGGGAAACCCCAAGCGTGCGAGAGGACAACACACGATCCCATACAGATGGAACAGATGCAGATCAGTTCCCACTTGAGCTGTGCCGCATTCACCTGGCGATCCAGGGTGTGGCACCCCCTTAACGCCCAACAGGATGGGAGTTTCTCAACATCTGTGCGGTGGAACCGTCACAGCACGATAGCTGTATCTTACTTGATACAGATATCGTGCTGTGACGGTTCCACCTGAAGACGGAAGATTGTGTTGCCTCCGAAACGTCGTGAGAATTATTTTATTATGTTTTATTTTTATTATTTCCCTTCTACGTGACTTTACCGAAAGAACCAAGAAGATGAATCCCTGCAGTCACGAAAGCTTTAAATCGAAATTTGTGCGGCGATTCACCAAACCCTCCCTGCTGCTGCTGTCCCCACGGTGCCGGATGACAGGCAGCCACGTGCATCAGCAGAGCCACCACCACCGACACCGCCTGGCTGGTAATGGGAGATCTGTGTGGTGTGTGTGTGTGTGGTGCCCAGGAGGCGGACGTCCCTGATCTGGAGATCGATGTGGAGGAGCTACTGGAACTGGACGAGGATGAGGACAAGGCGAAGAAATTGCGGGTATGATACCGCCATCACCGGCCGTGTAAATTACCGACGTGTCTCCCGCGTGCGTGGCATTGCGGGCGCCACTGATGTTAGCCGTGCTCGGGAATAAAGCCCAGGTCGCCGGGTTCGCGGTGCGCTAATCACTACGCCACCGACCCCCACATAGTTGCTCGCTATTAGTACTTGCCCCAATATCCCATGTGGAATATGCAGGAGACCTTTGTGTTTTGTGGCAATGCTGTGGTGGAGTGGTTAGAGCACTGCGCTATGAACACAACGACCTAAGTTCGATTGCCGGCCATGGATAACATAACACTATGTAACACGATTTTTGTTCATGGGTAGTAAGTGTTATGTTCTAATTGCTTATGCCTCAAAAATATAGAAAATGGCTATTATTCCCCACAAACTTTGCTTTTGTGACCAGGACTTTACATGAAGGAATGACACAAATGCACACGTTTTCTCATTGAAAATAGGTACATTTCAAATATCACGATGGTTAGACAATTTGCTTATATATCGAATTTGTAATAATAGGGTTTTCCCCCTTTTTTCTGGCAACAAAACTGAAACCTTTTTACAAGGATTCATGTCTGCATTAACCACAATACTTACAGTGAAATGCAAACAAAAACACACTCTGATAATATATGCATTGTCCTTGAAACTGATTGGTCCACACCCAGGACGGCTTTCTTTTGAGCCTCAACCCAATTGGTGCTCGACCAGAGGACGCCAAAAGGCGTCCACAGCTCAAAGACAATGCACTATCAAAGTAATGAGGGCTCGGGGTGAGCATCTACATCATTGGACCTCCTTTGCCAGTACCAAAATATAATAGGGGTTTTACCATTTTTTTGTTGTTAAAAGGTTTCAGTTTTGTTGCCAGAAAAAAGGGGAAAACCCCTATTATTATATTTTGGTACTGGCAAAGGAGGTCTAATGATGATATCCAAGATGATTACCCGCAATCATCGCCCGCTCCTGCGAACACACGGCAGGCACCGTCCTGAAAATAGAATGGGTGAGACTCGGTGAGGCTTTCCAGGGTAAATAGGCAGAGTAATAATAACGGCCCTTTGCGATGGTGTAGGGAGACCCCAGGGAATCGTAGCATTAGCAAGGGCGCAGCAGATGCCATTAGAGAAGCAACCATTAAATGTCGTCTAGTTAATAACGCCGGCCAGAGCTTATTTGAGGGCTCTCACCACACTCGTCTCTCTTCCGAGTGGGGTTCAAGGGGGACGTGGGTGACCCAAGCGATACAGCGCACACGCGATGCACGGTCAAAACTACGTTGCTCGGCGATAGGAAGATAGTGATCTTCTTGGTTCTTTCGGTAAAGTCACGTAGAAGGGAAATAATAAAATAATAAAAATAAAACATGATAAAATAATTCTCACGACGTTTCGGCCACAACGCAAGCAGCCGTCCTCAGGTGAAGACCTGTCTCCCCGACAGACCTGTCGGGGAGACAGTCCCATCGGCCCTTTCAGCGACGCGTCATGCCCAAGCTCCGCTCGCTCTCCACTTCACCTCCGAATCCGCTCTTCGTGTTGTCGTACGAAAGACAAAGTGCGAGGTTCCACGCTAGCTTGCGGAATCCCGGTTGGATTACGGGTGAATTAAAACGGGGAAGCGGCTTAGCCGGCCTGAAATAACGCACCGACCCAACACGTGTAGTGTGCGTAACCCTCGCCCCAAACAGAGAAAAACGCACGCACGAGTCTCCACGAATGCCCGTGATTTACGACCGCGTACCTCATTGCCCATTCTAAACATTGCGGTCAGCGAGGGAGGGGGGGGCGGGGGGTGATGTCGCAGTTAGAGCCGGCTGCTCGACGTTGCGTCGGCCAGAGAGTTTGTGGCCTTGCCCTAAGAAGGCAATTGCTCGTGCTGTTTTCACTTAATGGGTTACAGACTGCAGGGGCAAGTGCTGTTAATGGCATCTTTGTATTTGGTTTGCTGATGCTTTCCGAACGGAGGTCGAAAGCGTTCATGCAGCGGTTCTCAACCGGCGGGTCGTGCGGTTTCCGTCTTAACAGGAGGGGCTGTCTGGGGGCGGGGTAGTGGGGAAATTGGGGGTAGGCTACGGCATGGATACCGTGGAGGTTTAGGATCATAATACCGTTAGGTATCCATTTGTATAGCCGTCTGTAGCTAGGGTTCACGGTAACTCAAGCAATGATATTGAGCGAAGATTTTTACGTTCCGTTACTGTTCGGGACTTGCCGTTTAGAAAGAACAGATATTGAGTCAAGGTTTGCCCTAAACTTGGTTTTAAGAAACCAGCGATAACGGGTAGTCTCTTGCAGCCAAGGGGATGACATCACTCGCCATGTGATTGCCTGGCTCGCGACTGAAAGGTCACATAGGGCAATCGCGGTCAGGGGATCGACTGTCAAGCCCGTCTTCCCTCTGGCATTGATAAACAACAACAACAATAACAAAACAAAAAATGAGCACCGGTTTTGTGGGGGAAGTTAACCGTGGTTGTCATATGGGACGACTCTGTCCTGAAGGGCTTTTGTGGCTCGCAGACCTGGCCACGTTACCATAGGGCCGAATAGAATAATGATGATTGATAGTTAGCAGCTGAGGAAGTCTCAACAATGCGGTCCGTTGTTATGAATCTCGAGCCTTGGGAGCTCAGTCTCGAGCCCATGGTGGGAGATGTGTGGCCCCAGCCGTCGCCAAACAAGAGACGGCTTATACACAACGCACGTGTTAACGCGTGACGCGGACCGCTACGGTCCACCGATTGGCGAACGCCTCTTGTTGGCAGAAAGCAAGACGTTTTAACGCGCAAGCTCTCACAGCTGCTCGTAACCTGGAGTAGTGCGCCTCACCTCCCCCGCCTCACCCGGGTAGCATCGCCTACGCCACGCACTACTGCGGGCATGTTCAGGAAAAATGAGACATCTCTCTGCATGCCTTACAACTACTTGCATCATCATCATCAGCAGCAGCCACGATGTATCTACTTGCCAGAATAGAAACACAATAACTTGCTGATCTCGCCAAGGGACATAAACCATCGCACAAACTCCGGTCATCCTCACAGCAGCAGCTGATTTTGGCTGCTGGCCATCGAACAAAGACGGTCACCGCATCGCGCGCTTTCAGGTGCGCTTCTGCGACCGTCTGGAACGCTCTTCCCTCCGATATTAGGAGGCCACTGGACCTATCCACTTTTAAAACTAGATTGAAAACTAATTTCTTTGAAACTGCTTTTTGTTTTTAGTTTGGTGTCCTTCACCCGCACCTCCGATTAGCATGGTTGGCTACGTACTGTGCGAAAGAAGTTCAACGTACTTACATATACATACATAGCGCACGTAGTTTGTTTTTAGGGTAAATCTTGTAGAATTCACTTTCCACACGAAGCTGAAGGGTATCATGAAGAGTTATTTGTCATTCCACTTGGGGATGAAGGCCTCCCCATGCCGTGCCGATTAAGGGCATTGACCATCCTGGACAGTGCAGGTCGATGAAGGGGAAACCCAAAATTTTGATTCATCCATAACAGAGGTTTTTTTTTTTTTGGGGTTAGATCGCGTAAATATATAAATGTGTCGTTAAACCCGCCACCACCCGACACAGCCAACTAGTAAGGGTTGTCACTTAAACAGAACGTGCCAATTCGATTTTACTGGTTGAAACCACCTGGTTCCACCAGCCCATAGGGGATTATTGTGTCCGTCCGTCCGTCGTGCATCCAAAAATGGGAGGGGTGGGGCTGGGTGAGGAGGGGAGGGTGGGGAGGGGCTGGGTCGGGAGGGGCTGGGTGGGGAGGGTGGGGAGGGGCTGGGTGGGGAGGGTGGGTAGGGGCTGGGTGGGGAGGGTGGGGGGTGGGAGGGGTGGGGCTGGGTGGGGAGGGGCTGGTCACCCCGTGGTGCCCTTATAAAACTCAACGTTTAACCTACTCACACCGGCTTGTGCCCGCCCTCACAGTCGGTCATATTTGCGGAATACACCACGCCGCCGTTGACCCTGGTCATTGACCGAGCAACCCAACGTTCCTACCAGCTCCCTCCGCAGGAATGTGTTATGCGATTTAACCCAAAAAAAAACCTCTCATGGATAACATTGCTCGCGAAAGCCCACATGTTAAATTTGGATATCACTCGACCGAGTTGATAGCACAGTGTGCTAACCACTGCCCCACCACTCTCCCATAATGATCTAGCGCTTAACTTGGGATACTTTCTAACAGTGATTGATGTCCATCTCTCTTTCTCTCACTTTCAGGTGATCCTGCAGGGCTGCAGTAAAAACCCGGAGGTGAATGTTTCCCTTTACTCTTGGGATTGCTCGTTGTAATTATGGTGTAGTGAATCCCCGCGTAGTGAATGTATATTGAATTGCTGTGCAGTGAGTGTATATTTAATGACTGCGTAGTAGTCAATGTATAGTGAAAGTCTGTGTATTGAATGTCTGTGTAGTGACTGTATGGTGAATGTCTGTGTATTGATTTCCTGCGTAGTGAATATATAGTGAATGTCTGTGTATTGATCGTATATTGAATTCTAGATTTGAAGCTTTCGTGACTGCAAGGATTTATACTCTTCGGTTTTTTCGGTAAAGTCACGTAGGTAAAAATAAATAATAATAAATTACAATAGTATTATTTCTATCATTTTATTATTTATTATTTAGTTTTACCTAAGTGACTTTACCGAAAAAAACTAAGAGTATGTATATTGAATGTCTGTAGTGAATGTCTGTGTAGTATATGCATCGTGATGGTGCAGCAAATGTGCAGTGAATGTCCGTGTATTGATGGGTTGTGTAAAAACTACGCCTCGTCTTTTTTTTTCACGCGGAGAGACGGACGCGTGAGGGAGGCGTTGTCCGCTTTAGTTTCCACAACGAGCCTCGCGCAAACCGCGTGCGAGGCTCGGGATCCGAGGGATTTTTGCGAACGACTTGGGTGAACTGACCCCCGGCCACCCCCACCTCTAAACCAGTTAAAATTCATATTCTTTGTTCTTTCGGTAAAGTCACGTAGAAGGGAAAGAATAAAATAATAAAAACAGCCCTGTTCTTCACCTGAGGACGGCTGCTCGCATTGTGGCCGAAACGTCGTGAGAATTGTATTTTATTATGTTTTATTTTTATTATTTTGTTACTTCCCTTCTACGTGACTTTACCAAATTCCATTGTAGAGGAGGGGCTCTGTAGTGGAGGCCCCGTCCGCCAGCGGTGGCGTGAGCGGGCAGTTGCAGGGCCGTGCCTTTGCCGTTTAACATCGTGCCCTTCAAGTGTAAAAGCGTAAGGGGTGGCCTTTTGCGCGAATGCCGCTCCAGGTCTCGGTGTTCGTCGTGTCCCCCCGACCTTTCCCGTCGCCCCTTTGGGGTGGCTGGGGGTGAGGGGGGGGCGTTATTGGGGTTGTCCAGAGAGGCCGCGCGAGTGACCGCCGGCGTTGTGCGCTGCGTTTCTTCTCCGTTGCGTCCAGGGCTTTATCCGCGAGTTGCTGCAGAGGCTGAAGAGTGTTCGCAAGCTGAGCACGCCGCAGAAGAAGTGAATCCTCGTGTGGGGCGCGCGGTGATTAACGACGCGCTGAGCGGCTTCTTCCGTGTCCCCTTGCCGTAGCCGCATAGGCAGCGTCTTTAAAAGGAAGAGATCAAACGCAACGGACAAAAAGTCAATCAAAGTTACTTTAATCAAACGTATAGCTCTGGCCATAATTCTCAGTCGGCATTGAAGTTTTTTTTATTAAGCAACTTCTACAGGAGCTATCTCCAGAGCTCTTGGTCATGGAGAGGCCATTCCGCCAGCAGTGGCGAGAGCAAGAAATTGCAGGGCTGCACCTTTACCTTTTTTAAAAAAGATCGAGGCACCAGGCCCCGGTGCGTGGTGAATTTACGACTGACGGCAGCAGTCACGGCAATCGCCAAGTCTTTCCAAAATTCTTCCGTCACCTTCCACACTTGCGCGCACTTTTAAGTCATTAGATTTAAAACGAATATTTTTAGAACTGATTTTTGTGTTTAGTTTGTTGTCCTTCCCCCCCCCTCCCGCACCTCCCAGTGAGCACGTTCGGCTACGTCCGGTGCGAAAGAAGTTCAACATACACACACACACGCACGCTCGCATTCCGCTCTGTTGAGACACCACCAGTGCGGTCCTACAGGCATTCAACGCGGCCACAGGGAGAAGAAGAAACGCGAATCAACGTTTATTCTGGCAGATCTCTTCGTGTGTATGTACGTGCTCCTTGATGACGATCGCGCTCTGCATCGCAGCCTCGTCGTCATTCACGTTTCCCAACCAAGGTCGACAGCTTGTAACACGTAGCCTTCCTCGAGCGATATTATCCACGATTTGTTTTGCGGTTGGATCGCGTCGTCAGGCACCAGCTCTGTCCATCTGTCTCCAGCATGGCGACACGCCGACTCATGTGAACATGATCCAATATGAACGAAACCTGTACTCCGATAGTCATCGGCCTTGTTGTTGGCGTGAAGATCCCCTCCCGCAGGTTACCAAGGCCACAATGCACAGAGGGATCACATGTCCCCACACCACGAGTCGATGTGGTTGTTAGTGTAAGGCTATGTGTTTCACGATGTGTCCAAGTGAGTCATGCTTGCTGTGTGTGGAATATCTGTTGGAACTTCTTTCGCACCGTACGTAGCCAACCGTGCTAATTGAAGGTTGCGTATCGGTGACAACTTTAGGTCGGTACCACTTCATAAAAATTTTAATACCGGGACTGGATTAAGTTTTGATGGGGAGGGGGGGGTGTCCCTTTCCATGGCTGTTATAGTTTGTTTTCGTAGTGGGAGGGAGGGAGGCATTTTCTGTTGGTAAATGTGAATTTTCAAGCCAAATCTAAAGTTTTAACGAACAAAAAACAATGTTGAGTTCGGGACACAGGTGGCGGTGTGATACGCAGAGTGACGCTGTGGCATTACTTACCAGACTACACTGTATGGGGGATGCATTATCGTGCTGGAGTATTGCGTTTCAACCATTATAAATCAGTCTTTTAACATGTCTATATTTATATTTGGGGTTCCTCAACATCCCATGTCTCGGGTTCTCGTTAATCCGGCCCTGGTTGACACAAAAACTAATAATTGTATTTAATACGGCGCCGATCATGCAAATCGGATCTCAGAATCATAATATTTCTACTGGAGGAGGAATCCGATGAGCTATGAAGCTCTTTTTTACAGGCGTCCAGTTGGGGTGGGGGGAGAACGTGACGACAAGCAACACAGAAGCACGATAGGAGTGCAAAGTGTAGGAAGGGTAAATAAATCACTTAATAAAACATCCAAATTAAACTAAACTATTTTTTTATTTCTTTCACTGAGCCATTAGCTTTTTTTTCAGAAGCGACCTGGCCACAAATGATTATAAGCTCAGCGACGTAGCTTACATTTCGATTTAAAGCTTTCGTGACTGCAGGGATTCATCTTCTTGGTTCTTTCCTGTTCTTCACCTGAGGACGGCTGCTTGCGTTGTGGCCAAAACGTCGTGAGAATTATTTTATTATGTTTTATTTTTATTATTTTATTACTTCCCTTCTACGTGACTTTACCGAAAGAACCAAGAAGACGTAGCTTACCTCAAGTCGCTGAACATTGCGAACCACATTTTAACAGTTTAACACGTAGTATTATTCATAATCGAGGTTTTGGTTTCGATCGCGTTATTATAAACGTGTCGCATGTACAACAACAACAGATACCACTTTGACGTGAATGCCGCAGAGACTCGACACAAGAATACAACTGGTTCGTGTGGGGGGGCAGCTGGGGGGTGGGACAAGTGTAACGCAACTTGTGTGCCAGGTCTCGCCTTGTCCAGGGCAAATGCCGTCTTAGTCTTCTGCAGCTGTGGTTTTCCCCGAATTCATCGCTCAAAGGTGCCGCTCATGTGCCTAAATGCGTCTCGCTCACCCTGTTCGCAGAGTAATCGTAATGACAGAGTAGCAGGAGTAATAATAGCACCGACATCACTGGCGCGAGATAAATAAGGGGGCTTCCTGCTGTTAAAATCTCAGTGCTGGTTTTTAATCAAAGCCTTGGGGGGGGGGGGGTGGGGGGGGCTTTTCCGTCTGCATATCTTTGGTACGATCCCACCGGCGCGGGCAGTTTGAAACAACGGTGGAGAGATTTCGATTTAAAGCTTTCGTGACTGCAGGGATTCATATTCTTGATTCTGTCGGTAAAGTCACGTAAAAGGGAAATAACAAACTAATAATAAAAATGAAACTATACAAAAAAATATTTTTTATTTTGAAAAATTAAAACTTAAATTGCTTTTATTTTTATGATTTCCCTTATACGTGACTTTACCGAAAGAACCAAGAATATAACGGTGGAGGGGTTTCTTAAATTCCACGAGATGCCTCGTACCCGTGGATTAACGCCGTGTCGGTGGCACAATTATCCATAAAAAAAAGTGGGAAAAGACCAAAAAAAAAAACCTCGCATTTTTATTATTGACCGTGTGGTTGTGGAAATATAATCCAATTTGTGGTTGGGCCCACTGTGGTGTTAAGTTGTATGACCTTTAGCTGTTCCGACTGCGTCTTTTTGGTGCTATATCAACCGGATAACTTATCGTGTTCTCCATGGTAAACCTGCACGTTGGTGGATTCCTTGTTTGAATACAAATTGAGCGATGAGGTTTACGACAAAACACTCGGGACGCCGCGATATGGTGACGCTGCGGTATGCAGCGCGATTTAATTTTCACTCGAATTGTATCATCTCTGTATTGCCAATATACAGGGCGTTTAAAAAAAGATGGACCCGTTTTGAAATCGCTATATCTCTGCAACCACAAACCGCCCATGAATGAAACTCTTACCACTTGAAAGGGCGGGGCATAGAGAGGGCGGGGCATAGAGTTTCAAATGATCACCGCTAGATGCCTCTCCCAGCGCACAAACAGCCCCTAGCCTCAGTCATTCGCAAGACGGTGACCCCGCAACACAAGGGGCGTATTGCGTTCTGCAGTTCAGCAAGACTGAATCCGTAATTGCGGTGCAGCGTGCGTTTCAACGGCGTTGTGGCTTTGATCCGCCAATGTCAAAGAGCGTTCGTCGTTGGTAGCGACAATTTGAGGAAGCAGGCTGTTTATGTAAAGGGAAGAGCAAAGGGCAACCACGCGCCTCAGAGGAAAACGTGGGAAGAGAGGCGTTTGGGACGAATTCAACTATCGTCTCGATGTTGTCCGTGCAGCAGGTGGAGGTCACATAGAGCATTTATAAAATGGTTAGTAAAACTTGATAACTCATTAAACCGTTTGTAACTTTTTGTGTAATTATAACATGTTGCCATCGTGAAATATACTGCTTTGAAAGTGGGTCCATCATCTTCAAACACCCTGGATATTTTATTGCGTGATTGGCGTTGCTCAGTTCACTTTTCTAAACATATTTTTAAACGATATCATGTCATTTGTTTTTACTAATAACCCTCCACGTCACCCAACAGAGCCAATCAAATCAAGCTGCCACGTGGGCAAATATCCCAAGAGATTTGGTTTTTCATCAATGGCCCGGGTGAGGCTGGATGTAACGTCCAGTGACTAACGCTCTCTGTTCCGTCCGCGACTGCACGCGCGCTCAAAACACCACGGGGTCGTGAACTTTTGAAACAAAGTCCGAACAAAACGTAGTCCCTTTTGGCGGCGGGAAACTTTTCAAACTGTTTTCTATTTATGTATTGCTTTATTTATGAGTGACACTGTTTTATAAATAACTGCACTCCTGTTTATATTTGAGCCTGCTTTAAGTTACAAAGCGTGGCTATTGTGAACACTGTTTTTTTTATATAGTAACCTAGCTGCCTTTTAGTGTACGTTATGTTTTGATGTTTAACAATGAAGTTTTCTAGGAAAGCCATAACAGGCGTAGCTGTGACGGTGGTGACAGTGAGCAGCTTTGAGGTCGCGTTATGGACCGGGCGAGTCGCGGTTCTTCACCACCCCTCAGCTGATTTCTTGTCACGATTCCGGCTCACGATTTTGGTTTGATGATTATTTTTTTTAAACTTGTCTCGTTCATGCTATTCCCCCCCCCACTCCCCCGTCTCGTTTGTATCGTTTGTATCGTTTATACTCCATGCCACGTTTGTATTTTGACTTCCTCATTTCACCCGTCTTGCTTTGTACCGTCTGTTTACGTAACGTGCGTCTCATTTGTGGCGTCACTTAACAACAATAATAATAAGATACATTTATAGCTCGCCAGATTTTGCACGCAAGTCGACAACTCGGAGGCGCGGAGCCAATCTCAGGGCTAATCGGAAGCCCTGGGACCCAACACAGATTGATGCCTTTTGATGGTTCTTGAAAGTCTGAGTGCGTTTGATGTTGCGGATGCCCCAAAGGGATTCGAGAGCTCCACACGGAGGCGGCGATTGCTGAGGATGCGACGTGAAGCTGTAACGTTTCGAGACCTTCGGTGGCTGGCGCAGATATTTTTTTTGAGTGAACGCTGCGTAGGGTTCTACCGTGAGCCTTCGGCGCAAGGCGAAAATATCGAGGCTTGGTGGTTGGTGGGAAACCGGTGGTGAAGACGCGATGAGAGAGGCAGGCGCGATTTTATCATTTTTCCTGCCAGGGAAAGTAAGCCGATGAAGGGTTACGCGTTTGTGTACCCGTCCGTCTTGTCGGCAGTGTCTCCACGATGTTTGGGATCGTTTGCATCATCAGCATTGTCTCCTCTGTTGTCGTGGGGCTCGCTCATCCCGTCTGGTTTGTACCTCTCTCTTTTGGGGGCCGTCCATAAATGACGTCACGCGATTTTGGACGATTTTTGACCCCCCCCCTCTCTCGTCACACGGCGTCACAAAAAGTCAGACCCCCCCCCCTCAAATATGACGTCACAAAGCTCTGCCCCCCCCCCCCAAAATAAAAAACATGCTTCAAATCGTTTTAAACTATTGTCATTGTAGTGCGAATTTAATGTGGCGCTGCACGTTGATGTTGTAGGAGAAGACATTTATCAAAAAGTATATTTCATTAAGTAGAACGTGTTTATTTAAAGTTGCGCATTTTGATGTGACGTCACATTTCTCAAACCCCCCCCCGTCACACATCGTCACAAATGTCTGACCCTCCCCCCGAGGTGCGTGACGTCATTTATGGACGGCCCCTTGTGCAGAATGCGACGTACATCTCGTTTCACTTGTTTCTGTCGTCTTCCTCGAAAGGTCTCGGCGACATTGTTCATCTGATTTGTGTTGTGCTCTCTTGTGTTTGCGTGTCACCTTTGAGTTGTTGTTTGTTGTTGTTGTCGTCCCCTTTTGTAGCCATGCCTGTCAACCCCTTACCCCAGTGCCCTAGCTTACTACAGACAAATTCAGACCTCGTTGGTCACCACGTTGCCCTTATAATTCTCAACGTTCATCCTACAAAGTTCCATCAAAAGGGGAGAAACACAGGCAAATAGACACTTATAATAATAGGGGGTATTCCCCCTTTTTTCTGGCAACAAAACTGAAACCTTTTTACAAGAAATCATGTGTGCATTAACCACAATACTTGTGGTCAAAATACAAACAAAAAACACACTGATAATATATGCATTGTCCTTGAAACTGATTGGTCCACACCAGAGACGGCTTTCTTTTGAGCCTCGTCTCAATTGTTGCCAGAAAAAAGGGGAAAAATCCCCTATTATTATATTTTGGTACTGGCAAAGGAGGTCTAATGATGAAATAGACACTTGTTTTTGCTGGTATTGAAACGGCTGTACGACCGCATGCATGGTCCTAAGAACTCATTTTCCCTGCTGTGCAAGAATATACGGGGTAAACCGTGTGGGTTGACAGGCATGTGCACAGCGCGACTCGTTTGTATGTTATTGTTTCGTTAATTTTTGTTTTTGCCTCAATTGGTGCCATTTCCCAAAACGAACAACCGCGTATAATTCTACGACAATTAGCACCTGCCATTAATCGATCCCCGCGCACGTGATTCCGATGCGTCGTTTACGTGCCTCCCGTAATCGGTAGAATTCCTCGTATCCGTCACGATTAAACATTCAATGTATTTTTCCGCTGGCAAATGGCAATAAAATATAAAAAAAAATACCAAATTTCAGGGTCTCGAAGATCCTCCACTACCAGTCGAGGCTCTCTTGATGGTGTTTGTGAGTTGTGATGTCCTTTAGACAGGTGTGTGTGCGCGCGTACTGAAGAAGGGTCAGTGCCCGAAACGTCGCCTATTATATGACTGACAAAAGTGTTTTGTGAACTGTGCTTGTCCACCACTGCAGCGGCAGCATCACCAAATAGTTACAGACACTCCTCTTCTTACGAACGAGTTAGGTTCCAGAGGTTTGTTCGTAAGTCGATTTGTTCGAAAGTCCAACTTTACTCCTGTCGATTCCATCTATAGATGCCACTGGTTCTTCAGGTTCTACAGGTGTAGATACCACTGGGTTTTCACGTTCTGTAGATGCCACTGGTTCTTCACGTTCTGCAGATGTAGATGCCACTGGTTCTTCACGTTCTGCATATGTAGATGCCACTGGTGCTTCATGTTCTGTAGATGTAGATGCTACTGGTTCTTCATGTTCTGTAGATGTAGATGTCACCACCACCATCTATTGCGCGGCGATTGAACGTACGACTCTCGGTCCGAATGTTCGTAAATAGAGGAGTCGCTGTTACACAGGACTGTACTCTTTTCAAACACGTCGCTCATAACTTCTACAATCCTCAAGCCTGACCCGCGGGGTCACGGAGATGGGATTTTATCAATGTTCCCATTGATAGTCGTAGGGGTTGCTGCAGTAGGTACGTGTGTATGTATGTTGAACTTCTTTTGCACCGTACGTAGCCAACCGTGCTAATCGGAGGTGCGGAGAAAGAACCAACAAATTAAACACAAAAAATATGTTTTAAAGAAGTGAGTTTTCAATCTAGATGATTGCAAAGTGCATAGCTCCCAGTGGTTTTCTGATATCGGAAGGAAGAGCGTTCCAGACGGCCACAGAAGCGCATCCGAAAGCGTCGCGCGATGAGAGTGATGGATGGCTACAGAGGGATTTTCAGCGTCCTGAGCGACAACCCACGACCACCACTTGTAAACGCAATCTACCGCTGCTACCAGTGATCAAACATGCACATATAAGGATCCCCCGTAATGTATAGCCTTTAGCAAATTGTTAGGTCGGGTGCTGTTAGCGAGCACCTATAAAGGCTGGTACGGCCCACGAGGGGATGGGTGGACAACACCCCGCCCGGCCGCCTTTATCTCCCCAGTACTCATGTTTACACATTTCACCAGGTATTAATTCGAGGCTGAGACGACCTAGGCCAGGCCCGTGACCAGTTCAAATATTCTCCACAAAGATTTTAACAAAGACGAAGACCCCCCCCCCCCCCCTTCGGCTTAACAGACTGTAGGGGCAAGTGCTGTGAGCGAGTAGCACCTATGAAGGCCGGCACGGCACACTAGGGGGGGGGGGGTAGCCAACACCACGCCCGACCGCCTTTGTCTCCCTAGTCGCCCTAAGAGAGGAGGCCCCAGGACCGGTTCAGATAATCGTCACTTGGGTTTTCCATGAGCAGGAATCAAACTCGGGTTGCCAGGTTCGTAGCGCAGCACGCTAACCGCTGCACTACCACTCACCACTTTTGACAAACACAAAATAAAGACAAAGATCTCCCATATAGCCTTAGCAGCTTGAAAGCGTTTAGCGCGGGGCCCGTAGCATATGTAGCTACTTTTATACACACACAAAGTTTCAAGTTTTCTAAGTTTATTTATTAGGTATAGCCCTGTGAGCCATTCGGCTCTTGAATCGGGTGCAACCGCAACAAACAAAAAACATGAACAAGAAAACATCTTAAAGTGACTATGTGCAAACAGAAAATCCAAGAAAAGACAGCAAAATATTGTAGAAAAAAATCACCGTACACCAACCATGTGCAAATATCCCAGTGGGATGCAAGTCAAACAACAACCACAAAACAACTTAGATTAAGGCCATCAGTCTAACTCTGTACTACAACAAACAAACATGGCCAAACCAAAAAACTTTTCGAAAATCACCAAAATAATGCCATAAAAGCAATGAAACAGTGGTCACATGACTTTCCACATCGTTAATCAGTCAATAATTTTCCGTTTGTGGTGACGGACACCCACATTTCTCCTGCAATAGAAGCCGCGTGTGTGGGTGAGTGAGAGAGAGAGCGAGAGATCGACTAAATCTCTTTTCCGTGCCACCAATTCCGTTCCTCCGGACAGCGATGCAGAAGCCCTCGTTCGCGCAACATTCAATCGCCCATTGACGACGGAAAGTAATGGGCCATGAGAAATCACTCGGTGGTTATTAATAAACGGATGGCCCCGTCGCGAGGGAGGGGTGATAATGACTGTGATTTGTCGCGTGGCCCGTGTTTAGTCGCGGTGTTTATAAACGCGGTGATGCCTGCGTGTCACGCCGTGTCCTTGACGCGGTGATTAGAGGGCCACTCGAGGCGAACTTGACACGGATATTTGTGCGATCGTTTTTAGACCAATGTCATCTCGAGGGTACTCTCCGCCCCCTCCCCCTACCCACGTAAACTGAACACGAAACTACATTTTCTTTTTTTAACCAGGTAAGGTCCACTGAGCTATGTAGCTCTTTTCAGAAGCGACCTGGCCACAAATGATAATACAACCGAGTGATGTATCACGTGGAAATTTAAAGCAATTTCCACAAATGTAAAGCAACGGGGAGAGAGACACGCAACAGACTTGAGGATCGGGATTGAATCCGCGATCTCCTGCACACCAGGCGAGGTAGTTAACATCTCACCTCCGTGGCACCCATGTCCTCGTGAATCAGAGGAGTTACATTATGTAAGCGCTCATCTGGCTGATAACATGGGGAGGGGCTGGGTGGGGAGGGTGGGGCTGGGTGGGGAGGGGAGGGTGGGGAGGGGCTGGGTGGGGAGGGTGAGGCTGGGTGAGGGGCTGATCACCCCGTGGTGCCCTTATAAAACTCAACGTTTAACCTACTCACGCCGGCTTGTGCCCACCCTCACAGTCGGGCATATTTGCGGAATACACCAGGCCGCCGTTGACCCTGGCCATTGACCGAGCAATCCAACGTTCCTACCAGCTCCCTCCGCAGGAATGTGTTTTCAGACGCGATCTGGCCACAAATGATATCTCAATGAAGTGGCTTGTCACACGGACATTACCAGCAGCCAAATACTCGAAACGCACGTCGTGTTGGTAATTCAGGCCAGCCCATGCAGTGAAATCAGCCCTGGAAATGCGGGCAGCCTCACTTGAGTTGACTAAACACAGGGGCACGCAGGGGCAGTGCATTCTCGAATTCCATGGTTAGTGGCACGTGGTATTTGTCACCTCCATTGATAAGTGTGTCAGCTACTGTAAACGTACCGCTTATACAGGGTGCCATCATTGGAACCTCCTTTGCCAGTAGCAAAATATGAGAATTGTTTTTTTTACCCTTTTATCTGGCAACAACAATGACACCTTTTTTTTCTTATACAGGGTGCTTAAACATTTATTTTTAACACTTATATGAGATTATCGTTTTTAATGGAATAACAACGGATAGGCACTGTATCATGATAAAACGTGTATGTTAATAGCTTCAAAAAGTCAAAGAGTATTCACTTGTTCACCATTATAGTCAACGCGTGCCTGGAATCTTCTCCAGGTGGTTTCCAGAGCACGGAGACGGCACATTTCTCGTGGTATCGTTGCAAATTCTCAGAAGTGTCAACATTTGTTTAAGCACCCTGTGTATCCCAGACTAAAGACTTTGTAATCGTCCCCCAATGTACTACTGCGTGGCGGTTTTGTGGTTGTGCGGCTGCGTAAGCTCTCCGATGTGTGTTCCGTTTGCACCGCGCGTTGTTTGGC